CAAAGGTGATTGGATTTTGGTGGGAGCTACTCACAAATCTGATTTCGCCTTTTCTATGAACGTGACCCTTGTTGGTAAGGATTACGTTCAAGGACTTGCTACCAACCTCAAACTTTTCTAAGGTTTCTTTAAGTAGCAAGTTTTCCTTTTGAAGTATTTCTACTTCATCACATTTCATACATGGAGCTAAACTATTATTATGCTCAACTTTTAATCTATTGAAATCACTAATAAGAGAATCATGCTCTTTTTTCAATAATTTATATTTTTAACTAATTGATTTGCATTCATCAAATAAATCATGAAAAACATTTAATAGTTCATCAAAGGAAAAATTTGTATCAAATGAACTACTCATCTCATCTCTAATAGCCATTAGCACATAGTAAGTAACTTGCTTAGTGTTGGTTGGTTTATCTTTTTTGGATGCACTTGAGTTGTCCCAAGTTGCTTTAAGAGCCTTCTTCTTCTTGGGTTGCTTGCTTTTTGCTTGGGGACATTCACTCTTGAAGTATCCCGGCTTCTTGCATTCATAACATATCACTTGTTCTTTCTTGGGTTCAATTTTATTTTTAGTATCATTTTTTATGAATTTCTTGAACCTTTTTGTTAAGAGTGCCAAGTCTTCATCAAAGTCCTCATCACTTAAATTTTCTTTCAAGTGGTTTCTTGAGTTCTTAATGTCATATCCTTCTTGTTCTTTGGAAGGTTGTTTTCAAGCTCTTTATGAGCATTACAAGTCATCTCATAGGTCATTAGTGACCCGATTAATTCTTCGAGAGGAAAGTTATTTAAATCTTTGGTCTCTTGAATGGTCGTGACTTTAGGGTCCCAACTCTTTGGAAGAGATCTTAAAATTTTATTAACAAGTTCAAAATCCAAGAAACTTTTACCAAGTCCTTTTAGACCATTGACAAAATCCGTAAATCGGGTGTTCATGTCTCCAATGGTCTCACTCGGTTTCATCCGAAACAACTCATAAGTGTGCACTAAAAGATTAATTTTTGACTCCTTCACCCTACTAGTGCCTTCATAAGTGACTTTAAGTGTGTACCAAATATCAAAAGTAGTTTCATAAATAGATACATGATTGAACTCGTTTTTATCTAAAGCACAAAACAAGGCATTCATAGCCTTGCCGTTTAAAGCGAAAGTCTTCTTCTTCAATTCATTCCAATCGTTCATTGGAAGAGAAGACTTTTGAAACTCATTTTCTATAATATTCCATAATTCAAAATCTATTGAAATTAGGAAGATCCACGTTCTAGTCTTCCAATATATGTAATCCGTCCCATTGAGTATGGGCGGACGTGTAATTGAATGACCCTCTAGGTTGCCAGCAAATGTCATCTCTCTTGGACTTTAAATCAAATGAGAGTAAACCTTATTCTGATACCAATTGTTAGGATCAAGAGCGGCACTAAGAGGGGGGGAGTGAATTAATGCAGTAGAAAATTCTTCGATTTCGTATATAGTTCGTCTCGATTCAAATCGTTTCGGAAAGATGTTGAACTTAAAACTTTAGTAAGAATGTAAGGAGAAGCTCAAGGAGGTTTGCAGTAAAGTAAATTACACAAAAGGAAAAGCAAACCAAAATTTAGAGTGGTTCGGTCAATGAGACCTACGTCCACTTCGGATTCATCCTTCGTCGAGGTCACCGGCATCCACTAAAGGCCTTCCTTTAATAGGCGAAGACCAACCATCTTTTATAGCTCTTTCTCCTTTTGTCGGGTTTAGGAGACAACCTTTACAAGTCTCATTCCTCTTTCTTAGATGATTACAAGGCTAAGAGAGAGAGGAGGAGAATTCTTCTCACTTTTACAACGCTTTTCACACCCCAAACACTTAATTTTTCACACATATAATAACACTTTGTTACCCTTTCATGCAAAAAAGGGTTGGGTATTTATAGGCCTCAATGATTTTAAAAGTTGGAGCCAAAAAATTCAAATCCTTGGATTTTGGGATGCTAGCGGTACCATTGCCATTAATGGGCAGTATCACCGCCTGACAGGGGTGGTACCACTGCTGGCAACATTTATTGCCAACGATACCACTGCCCAGACCACCTGGGAGATTGGGTCTCCCAAGCGTTGCCACCGCCGGCCATGTTTTCAAGGGCTGAATGGGCTGTTCAATCCAGCCCAATTCAGCCCTATTAAGGGCCCAATTAGCCCCTAGTTAAGTTAGTGTGATTACCTCCCAATCCTAACTCAATTTATGGACTAACTATAATAATTAAGACAATTGACAAAGCATTCTTGTTCCAGTACGTCAATTGCTCTTCCGGTGAGCTTTCGACAAACTTCCGACGAACTCCCGGTAAAGCTCCTAGACTTTACAATGATCTTCTTAGCGAGTTTTGACGAGCTTCTTTGGCAAGTTCTTGGACCTCTTGGTTAGTTCCGGTAGAACTTCCGACGAATGTCCGAACTTCCAACAAACTCTTAAACTCTCAACGAGATCTCGATCTTGACTTCAGCACAACACCTGCTTTATGTCTTATTGCAATCGTAATTAATCCTGCACGCTTTTCTCAACATATAGATTAGATCAAACAATTTATAATTAATTTCATCATCAAAATCCGAGATTCAATATCAAGTGAACTAAATGGATACTTATTAGAGTTTTCATGAGCATTGCCTCACAAAATTTGAAGTTTTGAGGTCTTGTTCTCTACAAGATTTGCTTGTGAATTCCTCTTATGCTTAGTTGTCATGTCAAAGTAAGTTTTCATCATTTTAGCTTTTGACTATCACTCTATTAGAAAATAAAATAAATAAGTTACCTTCGGTAGAATAGATCATTATTGGTATAAGGGTTTCACAACTATTATTTGCCACTAAAAACTCTTCGAAGGATTTTTGAAAGTGTGTAGTGCTCTTCGATTGGATAACTAAAATAACTTTACACATTCTCTCAAAAGTTAAGAAAACCATGGTTACTTGGCTTTATCCGACTCCTTCAGGATTATACTTCATGTATAAAACTAGTTATTAGCCCTCATCAATCATTTGCTCACACTTATGAAGAACTTGAAGTATTGGACTCATACTGAGTTAGCTACTACAATTCATCTCCACATTGCCATTAAACTTTTAGATTAAGTATTACTTGAAAATAGCAAAATTTCATCATGAATAGAGCAAGCGTACGATAGATTTGATCATCTTAAAGGGGACTATCTTCTTTATCGTTTTCGTCACCCTACCTATCTGAGTAGAAAAGGATATAATACCATATGCTACCTACTATGTTCCTAGGTCAATGACCACTACATTAATCGAAGTCCCCCTACTTTCAGTTATATTGATGAGAAGTCCTTTAACATAAGTTTTATGAAATTTCCTAGCCATTACCATTCTGCCTTCTCTTAGTACTTGAATTTCGTCATTATATTTTTCATGGCCTCGGTCTCCTTTTACTGTTATAACACTCCCCTCCATGAGAATAAGGGATCGGTTGCTTCATGGAAGTCTTGCTCCTATGGTACCATGGCATTCTCTTATGCCAATGCCCCTATGATTTGTCATCTCACATCCATGTTCCTTCTCTTTGTGATCGACAAATCTACCACTATGAAATCGTGACACTCCCTCCGTGTTCACTTCCATTCTAATGAATGCTTACTTTTGAGGAGTTGAGTTCATTTAGACTTATCGTCACTTCCTCGTCCCTTTTGACCACCTACTTCAATATCTCTGTGTTCTCAAAGTAATTTTCTCTTAGTTGATGGAAAGATAGGCTATAACTCTCACCCATAGCCTCCATAATCATGTTATAAGCCTTGCACTTATTCTGTTTTCTTTTACATCATTGATAGCAACATTCGATCTTATTCACTATCAACTTATCCCTATTTGTATATCTTATTCTTTGCTAAGCGCCCCTGCTTGCATTAAACATCATCAAGTTAGGTTGACGATGTCAAAAATAGCTTAAACTCAACCATTCCAACCTTTGTGTGCTATGTGTCCTTTCCAACTTTCTTATTCTTGTGACACTTTTTCATGTGAAGGGTCTAATCTCGAATGCCTACCAATTTAGGTGACTCTATTTCTTACATCTCTATGCTTGTTTCCCTCAAACGATTGAGCATGTAGACTGCCCTCCATGCAACCCAACTAGGTCCCTCACATCGCATGCTAAGTGTTTCTTAATGTGCTTATCTAACTCTAATACCATCTATCATAGACCTAGCTAGTTTAGCCTAAATCGTATGGTGTCATTGTGTATCCGTTCATAAAAAATTAATCTTCATATAATCTCGCATAGGCCCCGAAGACATGCAAATAAAAATCAAAATTGAACTAGAAAACACGCGAATGCATGAGCAAACTATCGTCATTGTTTTATGGAAACGTAAACTCGAGATCCCACAAGTAATATTTTAACAAATGCTTGATATCACTATAAAATATAATATAAAGATAGACTTTATAAGCTATGAATGATTGTATGACAAGGGATCCAAAGCAGTCTATCACATACAAAAGTCCTTGTGCTCAAGTGCCCCTGTGACATTGCTATAGAATTATGGGATGGACTAACCTAAGACAGCTTCCTTGAAACCCCATCTAGCTATGTGTCACTCAAGGGTTCCAAAGGCATGAATAAAACTAAAAAGCATACAAATTACATTAATTAATAGTCGGTGACAATGCGCTAACATTTCGTACCGCGATTTTGGTCTTGAATTTTCTTGCCACAGCACAGGTTGATAAGTGGATCGACAGAACGACCTGCGAAGTCTCTGTAATAGTTGTGGAACACAAAATGACAAACAAAAAGACTGAAACTACTGCAATCCTCGTCACTTACAACAACAGTACACAAAAATGATGCGAAGACAAAATGACGGACTATTCATGTGACGAAGTTAGCATTGCACACTCCAAAGATCAATCAGTCGTTCCCCTTTTGACATAAAAGAAAGACCATAGGAGTTGTAGGAAACACAACAATTCAGTGCTGCATTCATAGAACAAACACTATAAACTATAAACACAACTTGTATTGACCTTTGCATTTAAGAAAGACATCTCTTATCGATATCAACATACAAACTCATAGTCACAAATTTAAAACAAATAAAATGTAATTTATAGCTGGATGAGAAGACGGACAGGACCTATCTAGTGAACAACATGAAACCATGTCTAAAAGAATTCGTAGGTGTTTCACTTGGAGCATATATTTCATGAACAACAACTAATAATAATATTACACTGACCTCTTGTCCTCACATGAGAGCACAAGGAGAAGGAACTTTATAACGATATCGATTACTCTGTGGACTATGGTATAATGGACGGTCCGATGACGATCATGGAAATGGGCCGATGGGAAATTGGGCGGCTAGCTTTGCTCTTAGATCCTTCCTCAAGATTTTGCCGGATGGTGCCTTCGGAATGGTTTCCGTGAAGAATACCTTGTTGATTCTCTTGTAGAAAACCACCTGAGAGAATCCAAAATTCGATTCAAAGATTATAAAGAAAATAAAATTTCAATCGTGTATTATTAATAATAATTAAGCTATTTTAAGCAATTCCAAAATTAGTGATTTGATTTAGATAATTTGTGCTTCCTAAGAACAATTCATTAAGAATCAAGGAGAACTACTATTAATTCCAGAGATAAAGACTCCAAGGGAAACAAGGAGCCCAAGTACTAAAAATTTATTGCAATTATAGCAATCTCCCAACCAGTCTGAAGCCCTACTGGATCAAATCTCTATTACTTATTCTCAAGTTTGTAGCCATTTCAACTAGGGTTACAAGTTCTAAGTTTTGCATGTTTACTTTTGTTGGCCACTAAAAGCCATATACATATTAACCGTTTCTTGGACTATTTTTACCTGCCAAATAATTTGAGTCGCATGCTTCTCAGTTATTGTCCATTAATAAACGCATCTATTTAGATTGTCTTGGATCTGAATCAATGTTGAGATTTAGAATTACTATTATTTCTTTCTTTTAATGCAATGTAATGAAAAATCAAGAACTGACTGATTCTTCATATCAAAGTTACTGATCTTTTTACCCCCTTTCATTTGCTAGTTAACAAACAATAAGCCTTGGTTTAGTGCTTGAAGCTTTTACCTGTTTTGATATGTATTGCTTGATCTCATCCTCAGAAATCTTCGAGCCATTCGACCTCACGACAAACGCAACGGGCACTTCCCCAGCTGCTTCATCCTTCATCCTGCAAGCCACATTTTCATTTTTCATTCATACCGAATTGTACTGGAAGAACTGTAGTGTGATGTTTGAGTTGCAGGACTTACGGGACAACAGCGGCATCAGCGATGTTAGGGTGGGTGATCAGTAGAGCTTCAAGCTCAGCTGGGGCTACCTGGAAACCTTTGTACTTGATGATCTCCTTGAGCCTGTCGACGATGAAGACCTCATCGTCGTCGTCCACATACCCGATGTCTCCTGTGTGCAGCCAACCATCCTTGTCTATGGTGTTCCTTGTCGCCTCTGGATCATTGATATAACCTGTATAATTACTACATGCATTAATAATCCCTGGTGAAGCAACGCTTCTCTTAGCATCAATGGAGTACAAAGTTGCAAGTCATACAAGTGACCTCCCTAATTGGGGAAGCTCTCTTTCGAGAGCATCAACTCCAATTTTCCATAGTGTTATCAGATCAAATTAGTGAGATTATGCTTGCAAATCCTTGTCCTTCTTTTCTCAGAAATAATTTTGATAAAGTTTGCAATGGTGAAGGGGACCGTAAATTAAGGATCGAGCTTGTAAACTACGACCGTCACCTTGTTTGTCAAGAGAATAATCATGTGTGTGAGAGATGGGCTAAAGAGTAGATCCATAAGTATTAAAACAGACAGGTGATATATATTGAGATTAAGCTAGAACTAAATGAACTGAGGTATTGGTGTCCAAATGGTGTGCAGAAAAAAATAATAAGTTCAGATTCCTCATCTAATTTAGAATTTCCAACAGGCAAATGAAAAAAAAAAAAGAAAAAAAAAAAGGTCAAATTGTCTAACCTTACGAATAAAAGGGAAATAATTAAACCATATGAATAGGAGATATTAAGAGAAAATATGACTTTTTACATGAAAATGAGGAGATATTATGAGAAAATATGTCCAGAGATAATAAACAGGAAGATATGTTAAGAGAAAGTATGATTAGTTTGGCCCAGAATGATTGATTACAATAGTTCCACCAAACCAAGACTGCGAGGACAAGAGATAGGCATAGAATGCAATCTATGCTACCTTGGTGGAAAAAATCACGTAGTTACTTGTAGACATCAAAATTAAATGCACAAGAAATATCTAACTTTCAAGTTCACATATCATGTTGCAGATGATACCCACACATTAGCTAACCACTTGAAATGTCATCATATATGTGGTAGGTAGAACTTAGAAGACCCAAAATGCACATTGTCTACCAAAACTTTCACCTTTAAATACGACCCAGTGCAAGATCCAACCAGTAGCAATCTCATAATCTATGATGTGTTTCTTTCAAATGAAAAATAGGTAGATGATCCGATTTCACGTTAGAGTACGATCAGATGTAAGATCCACTCAGAACCAACTGAAAGCCCACAAAGCTGATAATGTTACCTAAATTCCCCAAACGAGTAGCAAGCTTGCATATTATATTAGTCAAGATTAAGAGTTATTATTAACAAGTTATAAGTTTATGCATCTCAAATGAAAAAAAAAAGTGGATATATATACATATTACATTATTACTGTCACAACTTGGCTTGATATGATAAACAATCGATTAACCTTAATGAGTCTGAACCACTAACCAAAATTATTCAAGTCTAAGCTAATAATTCAAGTTTTTATCTACTTCTAGTGTGGTGATAAACTTGAGGATGTTAGAATTACTGTTGTATTTTTGTTATTGTTATGATGTTTAGGAGGAAAATGGGGGCTGGCTCAGACAGAAGTATTAAGAAAATTATTAACGACTACCCTGCCAAATGGGAGCTAACAGCATGCCTCAGATCATTAATAAATGGACTTGTGATTCACATGATGCTGCTTTCTTACTTCAGCAAATTGAATAAGCACAAGTAGCCAATACCTCATATGACTTAACCATGCTCTAAGGTGGCCATCAGCCTAAGATGGTATTCAGTGCCACATGGATAGCTGAATTGTATATCCATCATGCAGCATACGTCCCATGTGAACCGACCTAACTCAGTACACTAAATTATAGCTGTCACCAAAATGATTGATCGATTTGGGATAGCACACACTTGATTGGAACTTTGGAACAGGGATTTTGGGAGCTAAACTTTGCCTTCAAACATAATATCACATGCATCGACTCATCCCAAACTGTTCACCAGCAAAAGCTTTCCATTTCAGCTTATTTTACTAGATCTCAAAACACAACTCCACTATCACATACTTTTTTGACCAGAGAAACAACTTGGCCAGAATGATTTGATCATATGGATCACTGTTTTTAGTTGCAAGTGGCCATAGTTCTTTAATACTAAGAAGGTTCCATCATTTGGCTGGTCCATTTCAACAAAGCAACGTGCCGTGGTCCCTGGATTGGCATGGGATTAGTGGAGGACAATGATGGCACTGGGACCAACATGATTTCCTGTGGTGAGTCGGGGACGATCCTCCCCGACTGTGTATGGCATTGAGATCCTTCAATCAGGATATCTATGTGTAGAATCACCATCTTTTGTGTAAGAATTGGAGTTGCTCTCATAAGAAACATGTTCCTTACGAGAATAATTTTGGTGGGACAAGTCAACCATAATCTTCTAACATCTTTTACTAATTAAACTGACCAACATCTTTAAGATTAATCTTTTGAGGATTTGAATCTTAACCTAAAGATGGATGGATGGATCAAGTACATAATTATCGGACTAAAATTTCAAGCATAAAAAAAAATTTTAAATCAAAAATTAAGAAAGTTAAAGATACATCACCAATAAACTAATATTCTAAGAGTAAATAGAAATATTGATTGTTAGTTAGTTTTCATTTATTAGGATTTCTTAAAGAAAAATAATAAATAAAAAAGAAAACACAGGAATATATTCCAGGGCTCTCCGCATGTCGGTTATCTGCCTATAGTCGTCTGTGGGGTCTCCATCCTATCTCAAGTCATTCTAAACTTCTCCCCACGTGCACTACAGTGATTCCTGATGTGCTAGGCCATGTGACCCACTTGATGTCGCATCGTAAAGACCATGCGACTTGTGATTCCAAGGGATCAATCATAAAACAAGAGAGAGAGAGTGTGTGTGTGAGATCACCTTTCATGATTTGGGCTCCTCGGATGCAGATCTCGCCCCGCTGGTTGCTGCCTAAGGACGCGCCGGTCGCGGGGTCCACGATCTTCATCTCCGCGTTCCTCACCACGGTGCCGCACGCGCCCGACTTCACCTCGAACGGCTCCTTCGCGAACGCCAGGCACATCGAAAGCACCGGCCCCGCCTCCGTCATCCCGTACCCCTGCATCGTTTTGGAGCAGATCCCACGCGTTAGTGACCCAATAGAAGAAGAAGAAACGGGAGAAGACAGACACACAAAGGAGAACTTCACGTAGTGTGATTGAGCTGGACTCGAGCATGCAAACTGTCAGAAAGTGTCTCATCCGGTGGTCCTTAACCTGGCTTTCTTAGTTTGCTGGCTATAATATAAACATGAGTCCGGTCCCGGTTTGGGAACCGCGTAAACAAATTGAATTTGGGAACCCCAAGACGGAAGGAAGAGGGAGGCTCGATGGGTTGCATCAGACGACAGATCTACTAAATGCGTGGGTTGATGTAGTATCGATTCACATGTCTTGGTTCATCATTATTGACAAAGTAATGAGGACGGGGACACATGTACGATTCCTTACGAGTCCACGAGATCATCGGAGATGTGGGCGGGACACGTCGCCTCCGTCTTTAGTGTCTCCCACCGAGTCAGGAGCAGGGGAAATGAAGGAAAGGTTGGTGAGTTGACTCAGGGGTAAGGCGTCGTAAAAAGCTTCATCTTTTCCTTTCCGATACCGACAGTCTACCAAACTAACTAAGCCGAAGAAGTGGTGTGGCTGCAGTCTTACCTGGCCCAGCTGGGCATTGGGAAGTTTGGTCATGAACTTGTCCTCGAGCTCCTTCCCCATGGGCGCCGCCCCGGACATGACCATCCGAATCGACGACAGGTCGTAGCCATCGACGAGCGGGCTCTTCACGAACTCCAGCACGATGGGCGGCACGAAGGGCGCGATGGTCACCCTGTGGCGCTGCACCAGTTCCAGCAGCGGTCCGACCTCGAAGCGCCGCATGATCAGGATGGCAGCGCCGACGCGCAGCCCGCAGAGAAGCACCGAGTTGAGGGAGTAGATGTGGAAGAGCGGCAGCACGCAGAGCAGCACGTCGTCCTGGTGGAGGTAGAGATTGGGGTTGTCGCCGTCCACCTGCTGGGCCACGCTCGTGATCAGGCTCCGGTGCGTCAGCATCACGCCCTTGGGCAGCCCGGTGGTGCCCGACGAGTAGGGCAGCGCGACCACGTCGTCCGGGTCGAACTCCGCCGCCGACAGCGCGCCCGCGTCCGTCCCCATGAGGTCGGCGAAGAGGCGGCAGCCGTCGGGGGCGGGGCCGTCGCCCACGGTGACGATGGTGATGTCGCGCTCCCCGGCGAACTCCCGGATCTTGTCCACGTAGCACGACTCGGTGATGATGAGGCGGGCGCCGGAGCCGGCCGCCTGCTTGTGGATCTCGCCGGTGGTGTAAAAGGGATTGGCGGTGGTGGCGACGGCCCCCCGGTAGGAGGCGGCGAGGAAGGCGATAACGAACTCGGGGGAGTTGCGGAGGAGGATCATGAACACGTCGCCCCGCCCGATGCCGACACTGAACAGACCGGCGGCGAAGCCGCGTGCGGCGGCGTCGACCTCGGCGTAGGTGAGCACGGTGCCGGTGGCACCGTCGATGACGCAGGGGCGACCGGCGAACTCGGCCAGCCGCTCGAAACAGTAGGTGTGTAGGGGAATGTCGTTGGTGATCTCGATATCCGGCAACTTGGATCGGAAAATGGTCTCCTCCGGGAGCGCAATTGAACCCATCCCGGTAGCGATTGGACGAGAAGAAGAAGAAAGAGAAGAGAAAGGAGCTCTAATTGCTGCACTAGGGTTCCTTCTACTGGTTTCTCTTCTCTTCGCCCTCCCCTGAGGAAAGGAGAAGAGAGGGGTGGGGAAGAGGTGGTACTAATATACCGGCGGAGTGAATGGGGGGAGTTGGGAGTCGGTAAGGACGTGTACGGGATTACTCATAAATACTAGGGGTAAAACAGGAACTAAGGAAATGGATGCCGCATTAGATGAGCGAACGGTGGACGCCGAAGACATAGATCAAGCCGATGCGATGGCGCCACGTGTGCACGAGGCCGAGCCGCCCTTCCGTACGCGTGCGCGAGGGTCCGGTTCTTACCTAGCGAACCGGCCACAGCGATCAAAGCCGTCGGTTAGATACCATTTGCAACGATCGGACGGACGACGGTGAGGGCAGGTACCGGCGACAGTGACGTGGACGTGCCAGCGAGTTGACAGCTTGGTTGTGGGACTCACACGCGTCGGATCATCAACCATTGACGAATCATGGCCGTCGATTGGAGATCGGAGGGGCTCGATTCGTTCGCGTTGCGACTAGCCATCTCCATCTAGCTTTTTTTAGGGCGGAGACACATGATCGATCACCGTTCATGTTGCTCAAGGCCTTCACAGCACGGATCTTGAAGCATAGAAATGGCGGTCGCCTCCTCTTTACGTAACGATAACGAACACCGACACGCCAACAACTGGGGATAAATTATTGTGCGTGTTAAGCCCAACCAAAGCACCAACTAAGGCTATGGAAGCAATACCGAGTCACGTCACTTAATGGGAATGTTATGAAGTTGATGTGGACCGAAGATGGAAAGGGAAACAATTGGAGCAAAATAAAGGTTACAATGGGGGGGAGGTGTGTGTTGATAGATCTGACGATCATATTAATACTTATGAAAGTAGCTGATGTTGAAGTTTCTACACCAATAACGCACGTACAGGCAGAAGAGGCATAGTGTAACCCAACGTATAGGGTATGTTGATGCAAGAAAGTTTTCGTTGTACTCTTCGCCACTGACACGGTTACTTTTGGGATCAGATATAGAAATATATTGGGACACGCAACATGGTCATGTAGACCAGATGCCGAACAGGTCAGGCTCTTTGCATGGGGACGGTGGTGAGTGGCATTAGGAACAAAAAGCACATGACACTTGAAACTTTTATGTGGTGTCATTGTTCGAGTTTCACAATGATAATTTGGATGATTCACATACTAAAATTGTTTCCGACCGTGGACTCGTAACATGTTGGTAGGTGTGCAGGACTTTTCTTTGGCTTAATTGCTAAAAATTTATGACTAATTGAACCCAACATCGATGGGTATTAATCTCGAGACACAACATGTGACTCGCATTCCAAGCTTCTGATCTGTGGTTTTTTTTTTTCTCTTTCTCCATGTGATCATGTTGTGATGTCGTTTGAGATGTCCTAATAATTTTCTTTTAATATATATTAGTCCCTTATAAGCTTGATCATGATTTTGAAATCAATGATTCTTGTTTTCTATAATCATAAATAAAAAACGATTTTGGAGCCCTGAATGATTCAAAATACTAATTATATCAAATATTATTCATTTATGTTTTTCTTTAAAATTTTGGATCCCATCCATCGTTTAAACCTAATCAAATTGATCGAGAAAAATTACATTTAAATTAGGAGATGAAATATATAAAATTGGGTCCATACTAATTGTTGATCGGAAAACATGGGATTGGTTTAGGGGTTGGTGGGATGCGGACTTGAGAACCAAATATTATACGGAAGAGTAACACAATACTGTGCTGCAGTTAATGGTGGTTGGCCTTCGACTTGGGCTGGAATTGTCTTTTGTCAGCCTCAAATCACTGTAGTATCTCACCAACAATCTACCAACCCACGATATATCATCTCCTATCACAAGCAAGCACTGCAATACCTGAATTCCATAAACATGTAGAGGAATGACAGAGCAAGGAGGAAGACATCAGACATGATCCCATTGGGTTGGAATAGCTTTCACTAGTAAGGCCAGTCCAATTATACAAGTGCTCCCACATCCCCTACCACATATTGACTACTTATTTCCCCATCAAATCAACCTAGCAACCATATGAATTAAATGTGTAATACATGAACAAGATACTCTACTTATAAGGTAGAAAAGAATTAACATAATTTGGAAACAGAGCAGTTTATAAAGGCTGGGAAAGGGGGCAACATACATTTGTGTCCCCAGAACCTTGACTTGCAGGTTTCGCACCCCACCTCCCCTCCCCCAACAAAAAAAGGGGGAAACAACAAGGAGCATCTCACCACACATCCCTCAGATATCTCCCTTCCATTTGTAGACTCTTCACTAAACTCTCGGTCTTGGAGCTATCAAGAGATCCCTGAAGCAGAGTAAAAATGCACTGAATAAGACACCAAGAAAAAACAGAACACAAGAATAGTCTAATTAAGAATGATGGCTTTCAAGCATTAAATGTAGCTCTCTCATGTGAGATGGTTCATATTCGGTGGCAGATGAAAGAAAAGAGCATGCTGAATGCCCAGCCATCATGCTTTTTGTTCAGCCAATAATGCTCCTATGAGGAGTTTCTTCTGTGAATCCATGACTATCACGCTGAATGCCCAGCAATCAAACCACAAAAAGTAGTGTTAATCCATTTTCACTATTAAAGCATCATGCCAACTCGACTACCTTAGCTCTTCATCTTTTCTTGGTTCGAAAAGATAAATTCAAAAGGTACTTATCCCAAAGCTGGACAGTACACAAGAGTACTGGCTTAGCTTCTGGTTAATTAATTTGACAAAAGTAGCTTTCAGGTTTTTAAGGTATCCGGAATCTAGGCTCAGTTGAGGTACATAAGACCATAAGTGAAACTTTTCCCCCTGGCAGGTATCCAGAACAACCAAATCTAATCTGGATTTTGACAATGCCAACTCAAATTAATGACATTGAACAGTAAAGATCCGAATCAATGCAAAACTTCGAGCATGGTTGCGGAGTTTGTACCTGCTCTTGGACTATAGTGTGAAGAACCCTGTGAACATCTCTAGCCATACCCTTAGCATCGCCGCACACATAAACATAACCACCTTGGGAGATGATATTCCAAACACTGGATGCCTGCAAATTTTGCCACATGATTATTGGCAAAAAGATGTAAATATTAAATTTAGAGCTAACTGACTCCAAAATTATATGAAGAAGGATAGCAGAAGTTTATCCAACTTTTTCAGTCATTTTATGCTGCACATATTCCTTGGTTGGACCCTCACGAGAGAAGGCAACAATCAACTCAGACAGTACTCCTCTATCAACAAAATTGTGCAACTCATCCTCATAGATGAAGTCCTGCAAATTTAACACAGCATAAACAAAGTGAGAAAATAAAATATTTTATCCATTCTAAACTTTTATTCAATGCACTATATGTTATCAGCACCATTTTGCGGTTCCTACATCCAAAGAAAAAAATAGCATGACCAAGCTCCACACCAGACTCTTTTAATGCCTCCCTCTCCTAAAAACGGCAAGAAATTAAGTCATCAAAACAACTATTCCTCTCAAGAATGTATGTATTCAAGTGAAAGAAGAACTGTAAAGTGTATTTGCAGAAATGTGACTCTTAAATAAAAACCTGCAAGAAGCCTCTGAAGGGTGCCAACCCTGTGCCTGGCCCAATCATGATGATGGGCAGAGAAGGATCTGCAGGCAGTTTAAAGTTTGACTGTCTCACAAATATAGGAGCCCAGCCGCAATCTTGGCTCTCTTCCAATGGAATAGATTTCTGTACAAATAAGAAGTTAAAAGGTGAAGTAACATGAAAAAGAACCAAGGAAAAATGGACACCAGCAGTTGCTATACGTCAGTTGAAGACCTTATGAGACCAAGGACTAAATTACAAGAACACAGGACTCAGTATAAGAGGATCAATGCTCAAGTCAGCTATTCAATTCTTAGTTTGCATTCAGCTTAATGATTTTAGTTTTACGTCTTAGAAGCGATGTTCAATGAGTTCAATTCAGGCAGTCCTATCCAGTTCCGTAGTTTCCATCAAGCTTCACGGTTCTCATTATATGTCTTGGACACATTGTTCAATGAGTTCAATCAGACATTCTTACAAAAGCTTTCATAGGTAAGAAAACTAGATAGTAACTAAAGTCTCCAATAGCTCTCTCTTCTTCCCTGAACAAATGTTCAAACAATATAGTTAGGATAATTATCGGTTACGTCGATTCAGTGGAATTTATCCATACTGATGCACAATATGGTTGATCCACATTCCACAACACTGCAACTGATGGCTTGTTTTGAGTTCTTGAAGGAAAAATGCTATATGCGCTGATCAGAAGGTTAATTGTACCAAGAGGCAAAATGGCAAATTATATATTAACAATCTAACCTACAACTGAAGAATGCTTTGAATGCTCAAAAGATATATGAATGCATAAAAGATATATGCCATACCCACTGATCAGAAGGTTAATTCGGGAGAGGCATATACAGAACAATCTAAGTTGCGACTTATGCCTTGGTTTGCATTCTTAAGAGAAAATTAGGCACTGATCAGAAGGATATAAAATGACATCAAAAAGAAAATAACTATCCATCAAGAAGTCGAAGACTGCCAGCAAGCTCAGCTCAATTATTCAATAAAGGCAAATAAAAAAGTAAATGTACATGAGAAATTACCTTCATCCAAGTTGAACAGACCCCTTTATGAATCCTCCCAGTTGGTAACTTCTCGTGTACTAATGCACACGTCACATGTATTCGAGTTGGTGCCATCCTGAAAGAAATGAATAATCAACTCTAAGTCTGTTACATCATCTGAAGCAATCATGAAAAGTTTTAAAACTAATTATTACCTTGGAGAAGATGATATTGAATAATATCTAGGCTGCAACCGGGGGGAGATTGCAGCAAAGAAGACTCCTAGTGGAGGCTTTGCAGAGGGAAATTCAGCCATAACTTCTAGGAGACTCCTTTGACTAGCAACAACCCATTGAGAATATTCATCCTGCACAAGAATAATGGAGTAAGAAATACAAAACCCTTACAGAAGACTATTACAGCCTCGGAATGTATGCTAACCTTTCCAATTGGGGAAGCCAAAAATCTAAGTCGCTCAGCTTCACTGGGATCTGAAGCATGTGCAGCTAAGGCAACTAATGCACTCTGTACATATCATGTACAAAGAATTTAAACATGAAGTCCAGATTAAGACATCATAAATTGTACAAAGGAAAAGATGTCACCTTTTTGGGTGAATTTAGAAGATCAGCGTATCGAGCAAGTGCAGTTCTTAAGGTGCACGGAGACGGGAAAGGAGGTGATAAAGAGCCTCCTCCAAGTGGTGTACCATCCTCCTTGTCAGCAGAGATTGAGAAAAATGTGTCTGGTGAATAACCTAACAACCTTTCAGCCTCCTCTACAGTCTCAATACAATTCTCTGCAAATACCCCAACATGATCTCCCGTTTCATACCTAGTAAATGAGTCTTTCCAATGGTTAGGCAGAACCAGACCAGCAATATTTGGTCAAACTTAAACTAGCAATTTGCCTACTTCAAATAATGGACACCATCAAGCAGAAGCCTAGAGACTAAAAATAAAAGCAGGTAGTGTGCAGTTCATGTACAAAAACTCAAATTTAGTACAAAAACTCAAATTTAGCAGTTACGTAAAGGAAAACTGAATCATATCAGATACACAAAAAGAACTTTTTGACCATTCACTGTTGCAAATGGGAAAGGTAAAGAAACTGACAGGCCTTAGCATGGTAAATAACAAGATTGTATGGAGTACATAAAATCAGTAATCACTTAAAAATGAGGTTTGATACTTGATGATTTTAAGAATAACCAACAAAATTTACAGGTTTGAAATCAAACATTATTGGATTGATAAAACTATTAGGTCTCATATGATATTTTCTTAATGCTCAAGAAATATGAAACTGGGCAAGCAGGTAAGCTGATGCTACCACTGCAAAGATTAGCATATTCAGCACCAAGTGGAGATTAAGAAAATTCAAATAGCACGCAAAATATGTTTCACCTTCTGTAAGCAAAATGAAGAATGATGCTTGTTACAATTACAATAACATGGAGATTATACCCACTAAGCCAAAATAAGTCATTTGATAGTGACGTTTGCCAGAACCATGTGGATGAACATATATTGACCAGAAAATCCACATATTTAAGGGTCCCAAATAGTTTCAGCAGAAAACAGTTCCTTTGTGAATTAAGCTTCTCTCATATCAATTTACTCTTTCATCGATACAGTATTCACTGAAAATACTAGATTAGATGGGGAGCAGAGGATTATTGACAATCTTCAATGCACTTACAGAAAAAAATTGTCAAAATGCTTCAGTGGGCACATGCAGGTCCATCTAGCAAAGTGAAATTGGTTCTAGTAGTAGGAAACAAGCAAAACATCAGAAAAGGATGCAAAATAATATCAAAGAAACCCCCACCCTCCTTCATCTCTCTAGATGAATATTTATAGATTTACAACATATGCTTCGGACTATTAGACAGCATTTATGCAGATTAGCTGCTTGGACAAACAAAACAAAATTTTCAAAATATAAGTTGGTTATTGTCCCGCCAAGCAAATTGGCACATCAATGTATTTAGTTAATCAAACAAGATGCATATAACTGCACAGCAATCAATAAACGGTCATGCTTCACAATGACATTCTAAATTAAAGTAATCTTACGTAAGAGCAGTGCCAGCAATATCAAACTCCAAATGGATGCAGGATCGATCTGAAGCTGGACTATGAAGCTCCAGCCGCACAGCCACATTAACCCTTGAAGGACCACATGTTGTGTTAGTTATGCATTCCATAGGTTAATTAATCCTACTGTTGGTACATGGAACTTGTGAATATAAAAACTTATACCTGCATGGATGATGTATATCATGACTAGCATGGCCATTTGCAAGATTCCAACTCTTTTCAAGGTAAGAAGTTTCTTCAGGCTTGACAAAGACAATTCGGTATTCAGGAACAGCAGCCATATAAGGAGTAGATGCACCTGAAACATCATTTTCATCCCGAAGCAACTGATCCAACTCTGGCCAGAGAAGTTCCCTCCTGGCAATATAACATCTCTATCATTAGAGTGAACAACGAAATAAACCAGTACAACAAAAAAGAGATGAAAGGATATGTAAAAGTATTGTTCATAATTCATACCATGCAGTGAAGTCATCCTCAATACACTGATCATCATCACCCAAGCCCAGGGGAACAATACGCTTTCCACCTATCATGGAACAAAAGGAGGGAAAAGCAATCAGCTTTGAGTACCACAAATCAAGTAATTACCATGCATTAAATAGAAAAATGGGAACAAAATGTCTTCCATTATATATATATATATAACGTCACCACATTTATGAACAGCTGTTTAAATGAGTCTGACACTCATCACAATCCATTAAGACTAAAATAATTGCTTAAAAGAAAAATTTTCAAGTCAAAAGTCATGCTTCAATTAAAAAGCAAACACAAAAATGCTTCCTAAGTGTCTTCTTTAATGGTGATTCAATATCAGAATAAAAATCAGAAAAGGAGGAATAATTGATCAATGGGGGTTGAATTACACGGAATCCATTGCACTGCTTGCAGTTCATATCAATGTCATTCTAACATGAACAATGGGTCAACTGCTGTTTCACCAGTGATTTCTGCAGTAGTACAATGTAATACATCTCCATCAAATTTATAACAGCCATAACATGTAACTGTTGGTCGCATTAAAACGAGCAATAAACAACTTAAATACATTTATTGAAGTGTAAGAAAACAAGTAACTTTTTTTGAAGATATCAACTAGCTTAGTTGGTAAAAACTTTGAATATCGTAACGTCCTAGGCTCAAATCCCCGCCTTGGCCATTTATCCTTTACAAAAAATAAAAACAAAAAACAAACAAGTAATTGTGACCATTGTCATCTATATATAACTGCCAGCTTCCCTTACAATTTTAAACACAAAAACAAACAGAACATATACAATATTACTAAATAAATATAGAGTACAAATTAGTCAAAAACAAAGTCCAAATTATGTTAGCATAAGATGCTAATATAATCAACATTAGAAGAATGAATCAAGATCCAGGAGGGGAACATAGGAAATCAGCAAGTACCCATAGATTAAAAGTTGAATCTATTTAACAATTCTATCTAAATTCAGAGACATGTGATTGGACATTGAGAGCTAGAATTTCAATTAGCAGATTTAATGACTTATGTGACAAATTAATATGAACATTATGATGGAATTAACAGATAGAACATTTATCAAACTCCTGAAATGTCCCTTGACGTTCATTTTATACTCCAAATGAGGTATAACCATGACTTATAATTATCAAAAGGCAAACTTCATATCTTTTCCAACTAGCATAGTTTCTAAAGTGCAAGTTAAACTTTCTTCAAGGAATGAGATATACACATTACTCGATCCATTAGGTCAGTCATCAACAGAAAAAAAAAATTACATCTGATGGATAAAATCATGAAAAACATCAAAGCTACCAATAAAAAAATAAAAGATTTTGAAATGGATAAAAACAAACAAAAGGTGTTTACAACTTATGAAAGCAACACATTATATAACATGAACAACACTCACAGAACAAATGACAGAAGTAGTGACTTTAAACAGTCAAAAGAGTATACCTTGGTTAGCAAGCATTTCATCAACCACCTTAGCAACCTTTTTCAGTTTCGGGAACATAAGGAGAACATATGTCAGCAAGGAATTCACAAAACAAGAAGATATGCAATAAGTTGATTACAATAAAACCTTATTGAAATGCTCATATTGTCGGTTGCCCAAGCCAAACACAGAAAACTGAAGATTTTCTAGCCAATTTTCTCTCTCTTTCCCCTGTAATCAATCAACAACCCATGACCACATCATACATCCGCAATTATCAGGGGTAAACTTCAATGAAATCGGCATGTTTCTCAACCTCCGTAAACCATTTGAAGAACCGTGCAGCATTATCAGTAGGCTCTCCATCTCCGTACCTGTAGTCATCACATTAAAATTAGGAGGAAACTGATATCCTAAGGTAAATAGTTTCATTGTTCTCAACTTACGTGGCCATGAAGAACAAAGCTAAGGTCTCTTTTTTCATCTTCTCCTCGTACTCATCATCGTCAGCAGCATATTGATCCTATGTTTTGAGAAAGTACAGACGGTTAATATCAAGTCGTCAAAGATCATCCATAAGAATTCTCGAAGTATCTCAATAACAGAAAAATGATCTTACCAGATCAACCACTTTAAATGCGGTATTATGGTATCGCGATTTAGCCTCGTCCGCGAGCGCCTGATACGGAGGAGAAAAAAAGAAGATGAAAAAAAGGTTAAAGACGCTAATTTGGAAAAGATTACTTCGAATAGAATCCTCTGCGATCAAACCCTAACCTTAGCGAACCCCTCCGCCGTCCCGGTCTGCGTACCAAAGAAGACAGTGACCTTCTTCTTCCCGTCGTCAACCTCCGCCTCAGGCTGGACCTTCACCACCAGCGGCTTCGGCAGCGAGGGCGGTTTCTTGCCGAGCGATCGTCGGAAGAAGAACATGAACGCGCACCCAACAAGCACGGCGACAGAGGTGGTAAGGATGGCGAGGAGCTGCTGGTTCTCGGCGATCGCTGCCGCCGCGCCGGTCCCAGGAGGGAGGCCATCGCCGCGGAGGATGGCCGACAGGAGATCGAGCGGCGAGGGCTTCGCCGATCCTGACCGCATCGTGGCGGATCGGGATGGACTCGAAGCAGCGAAGTCTCTCTCCCTCTCTCTCTCAGGGTTGGGAGGGAGAGAGAGAGAGAGGACAAGGAGAGAGAGAACAGTGAATGGTCGTCGGTAGTGGGAGAGACGAGACGGGAGGAGAGGAGGGTGGTTATAAGGGCGGCCTTCGTCTCCTTCCAACTCGCAACTGAGTACTGGCGGGGTGGCACCGGCGTCGAAAGCAGAGTCGTAGCGGAGCAAGATACCCAGAATGCCCCCCCCGAAAGACGTCGCGCTTGGTTACCGTCGCCCGCCGATGCGTCTCACCTGTCGAACGTAACGCCCGCTACGGCGGCTTGCTCTTTGGCTTCGTGCGGCACCCGAATGCGACCCGCGATACTGGCGGCGGGTCGATCGGTAATGACGGATCGCGTATCCACTGGTTCACGGAACCCAATCAAGTGGGGGCTAAAGAAAACAGTTTGTGTGGCTCCCGCGAACGGACGTCTGTGGACTGGGCGGCCAGCAAGTCCGGCCCTGCAATAAATCCTTCAGCACATCTTGCCCAGTCTAGGTTGCTCCCTCTCTTTGTTATCCACTCTTGAACCAACAAAAAGAAATAACAGATCAACATTTTAGCATTAGCTAGTTTGAATAAAGTTTTCATAAATAATAATAATAATGTTAATTAACAATCAAATAACAATCTGGCGACTGAGAAAAGATTTTTGCTAGAGTGTATATATGTTGTGTGCTAAATTTAAATTCTGTAGATTTCAATACAAAGTTACTTCACATGAAGCCACGACATTAAAGAGGACGGAGCGGGGTGTTGCGAACAGAGTGTGCCCTCCCTCGATGCCATATTGCACACTAACAATCAACTCCTTGATTCAATGTCAAGGTCTCCCTGGGTCTACCACATTAAAATAAAAGAAGGAGATTTCACAACCACCCACATTAAGAGCCTCGGCAAGAGGCCCATGTCATGAAGAACTTAATATTGTGACAGACCGACCCAGCTCATCGATTTAATCGTTCAATTAATTTCTAGAAATAAATTAACCACAACAGAAAAATATGAATATAAAGGAGATGCAGAGTTCAAGCTGTTTTTTTTTATTATAATAAATTTGAAGAGAAAATCGATTATAAATTTTTGTAACAAAAAGGAAAATTTTAAATCTGAAAGTGTCTCTTCTCATGTGGATTTATTTTCTGCTTTTGTATCTTCTTCCAATTGATAGGTACTAATTGGTTGGCTCTCTCAAAGATTTATCTCGAAATGAAATCTAATGATGAAATCCGACATGCTGTCACAACTACATGGTGTATATACAAAACATACTTTATACTCCTACATGCCGTAGCTAAAAAGGACCTTAGTGTACTTCCAATTTACGGGAATTAGTACGCAGAATCATGTTTTCTAATATATATGTCTATCGAGCATGACGACAAGTTAACTCACAAGTCTTCTTCTGTCAGCACTACTTCCTTCGAGGGCAACATATATAGGTCACACTATTGGTTAATGGTTTAAAGTATACACTGACATGCGATTGACCCACCCACAACTCTTCTTCCATCAATCATTACTGTGTCCCATAAATACCAAAAAGGCACTTGAGGATCAATGTTTAGCTACTTGTTTGCATCAGACAATCTTTGCATTCTACTTTCGTTGACCGTACCATTCTTTTAGCATTCAGCAAAGAATAAGACAACTCACTGCTCGAAGCAACTCTGTGATCATCCAGAGTAGAACCTTAAGTCAAATACAAATCCCTTTACCCTCAATAATTTTTTTCACTCTCTTTAGATCTACAAAGTATTTTGTCATATATCCTCCCTCACCATAACTTGGCAATATATATGGTGCTCAATGAAGAATCTCATGTAGATTTTTTTTTTCCCATTCTTGAAATTTTTAATGCTCTAAAGATACTAGTTCTATAAATCCAAAAATATTTATCAACCCCAACAAGGATTATGATTGATCTTATGGCATCAATTTCATTGTTCAAAGTACTACTACCAATATGACTTCTGCCCATTGATCGTAGGTTTTATGGCCTACATGTATATTCTTGGGCTGCGCCATGAGCTAGAGTATAACAAGGGACTTTTACATATATGTCCATTCAAGGTTAATTGCGATGAAGACTCCAAAACCTTGTTCATTTTCAAAACACAAACGAAACAAATAGAAAACATATAATAAAAGTTTATAGTTCACTAAATCATTTTAGTGATTCTGCAAGAGATGCAATGAAATATCAAAATGAATTCTAGCAAGCATGCAAATCTAAGGAACGGGAAAGCCCATTTACATTTTGCGTATATTGATAGTGAATTATAAACTAAATCTTTCTTCACAAAGCTCAGTTTGAGATTTTCAAAATGTAATGGAGCACATAAGGCATTCATACAACTCAGCTATTTTAATCGAGAAGAATAATTCTTTTCAGTTTGTGATGATTGTTCTCTAACTCTAGAAAAAATAAATAAAAAGAACAGGAGAACCATCAAGCTTTATCACGGATTTTTAGAAAAAAATATTCTAGATAAAGATATCAATAAAAAATCACCGCCGATTAATTGATTTAGAAATTCTAAAAATTATGTTGAAAATTTAAAAATCTTTTGATTGGACTTCTTTTGTATTAAACGTACTCATTTACTATCTAGGTATCCTAGAAATCATAACTTCAATTTGACATACTAATTCTAATAAAGATTATTATTAGGAACCATTATTTTTATCAAGTTCTTATAAATAGTGGAGCTTCTTGAATCAGACACTTCTTGCTTTTCTTACCCTCTTCTCTTACTATCTTAATTTCATGCTTTTCTTTTCTTCTCTTTTCTGTTAACTTCATTCTTCATCAGTTTAGTATCAGAGCCCATCAAGAAACCATTATGTTTCAACTAGTAGCAAAAACTTCAATCAACACTCAAGCATCCTTGAACCTCTAATTGTCAATTCCTTACATGAGTTAGACTTGTGATTGCTGCTATGGAATTCCTTACCACCTAGCTCTCAATGAGAGCAAATTTTTTGAAAACTTTACTAATATATTTTATCAGAAAGAAAAATCATATATTTTATTAGATTACAGTTTGTATTGCTTCTACTCTCGTTTTCTCTTTTTTTTTCTATTTATTATCCTCTCTCTCCCCTTTAGCTATAGCTGTAATATCACTAAAATTTGAACCCTTAAAAGTTATCTTAAAAAAAAACACTCAAAACAAGAAGTAAGGAAAAAAAAGTGATACGATGTGAAACCCAAACCAATCTTGATGAATCCCTAAACCAACAAAGTGAGGTAAACACCTTTAGGATTAAGCTAGTAGATCATGATGTTGAACTAGTTATGTGACTAAATGACCTAAGTCCTCGTAGCTCTCCAACACTTTGAAAAATGACCCATGAATGAGGAGGTTGATGAGTCGATTAGGCAAATTCTCTATTTTACATAATCTATAACTTTAAATCAAGGAATTTTACCTACTCCCCAAGCCCCAGTTCAAACAAATCCTAGGTCCACCTATAGGGCACCTGTTCATAATCATGCTCTAATAATTCTTGATGATCAAGCTTTTAACCTTAACAATGAATTCTTAAAACTACTAAACATCTACAAATCTGAGTAATAGGCCAATGAGTTCGGTTTGCTAATGGGAAAATAACTAGAAATGTTAAAGTGGATGTGTTGAACTTTGATAGTAGGTTTGACCCAAATGTGTTTGTTTACTGGTTAGATTGTTTAATCTCGGATTTTGATGATGAAGTCAATTGTAATTTGTTTGATCTAATCTATACGTTGAGAAAAGTGTGCAGGATTAACTACGATAGCAGTAAGACATAAAACAGATGTTGTGCCGGAGTCAAGATCGAGATCACGTTGGAAGTTCGAGAGTTCGTTGGAAGTCCGGACGTTCGTCGGAAGTTCTACCGGAACCAACCGAGAAGTCCAGGAGCTTATCAAAGAAGCTCATCGGAACTTGTCAAGAAGATCGTCGTAAAGTCCAGGAGCTTGCCGGGAGTTCGTCGGAACATTGCCGAGAGTTCGTCGGATGTTTGCCGGAAGTATGTCGAAAGCTCGTCGGAAGAGCAATTGACGCACCGGAACAAGAAGCACTATAAATTATGTCTTAATTATCGTAGTTAGAGTGTAAATTAAGTTAGGATTGGGAGGTAATCCCACTAACTTAATTATGGGCCAACTGGGCCCTTAACAGGGTTGAATTAGGCGAATTGAGCACCCAATTCAGCCCTTGAAAACATAGTCGGCCATGGCATCGCCTGGAAGGCAATGCCCCTGGTTTTTTGGGCGATGGTACCACCCAGACTGGGCGGTGGTACCGCCGGCAGTAGTGCTGCCAACGATGGTACCGCCCCTGTTCGGCGGTGGTACCGCCCAGTGACATATCAACGGCGGTAGTACCGCCCAAAAACGATGGTGGTACCGCCAGTACCCCGGATTCCGGGGATGTGACACTTTTTGGCTCCAATTTTGAAGCCATTGGGGTCTATAAAAACCCCACCATTTTCTGCATGAAATGACATAAAACCTATTGGCATAATCTTGAGTTCTTGAGTCTTAAAGTGTTGTAAAAGTTAGAGTTCTCCTCCTTCATCTCTTAGTCTTATAACCATCCAAGAAAGAAGAGTGAGACTTGTACGGGTTCATCTCCTAAATCCGAGAAAAGAAGAAAGTGCTGTAAAGAGGTGTTCGGTCTTCACCTATTGAAGGAAGGCCTATAGTGGACACCGGTGACCTCGACGGAGGAGGAATCCGATAGTGGATGTAGGTCACATTGACCGAACTACTCTAAATCTGGTTTGCATTTCATTTTGAGCAATTTTCTTTAACTGCAAATCATTTCATAGCAAAGTGCTTCTTCTCCTCATCTTGCTTTCACTACACTTACGCTCTCTTACGTTTTAAAGTTACTATCTTTCCGAATCGATTTCTTTCGAACGTACGAAATATTTTCTGAAATCGCAAGAAGTTTTCTGCTGCATTAATTCACCCCCCCCTTTTAGTGTCGCTCTTGATCCTAACATAGATAACATTGAAAACTACTTTGAGAAGTATGGAATGATTTGATATTGAATGTGTATGATTTTAAAAAAAAATGAAATTGGTAGGGTTCGCTAGAAAATATTGACAACATGTCCAAATCTTGAAGTTATGAGAAGTTATGAAGTAAAACTTATGGAAAAAATATTTACTAACCTACTTTCGAAGCTAATTGATTAAATAATTATTAAACTTTAAATAGTTGAATTCTATGGCAAAATATTTGGCCCAAGGAACTTTTACTTAAGTGTGAAATAGAAGACAACCAAATCATCATTGTTCGAATATTTGTTAATAGGTTGAGGTTTGACATTCAATGGGAAGTCTCCCTTAGTTTTCCCGACACATCACAGAAGAAGCTTCCTGACGAGCCCTTGAGATTCATCAAACTTTATCCAATTTATCAAGCATCTTCTCAATCTCTCGAAAATAGAACTATTTTCCAATCTAACCCAAGTAGTGGCTCTGTCAAGCAAAAAATCACCACTACTAGCAATAATCCTAGCCCAACCATGAATCATCCAACTCATTCAACTATTGATTCTCAAACAAGTATGTCTTCAATCGGGTGTCACTATTGTCATAATAGAGATCATATTGTCTCTCATTGTCCTCAATATACCCTTACCTTAAAACAAAAATCAGAAGATCAAATCGAAAAAACAGACCAAGTATTTAAACCCGAAGCCTACTCACTTAACGAACAGAAACGAAAAATTACAGATGCCCATGTTAAAGTTGTAAACATTATTTCTCTCTACTAGTGATTCCAATGAATGGACAAGTATCATCCATACTTACATCCGAAGTAGGGAGAGAACTTGCAAATTGGTTATAGATGAGGGTAGCACTATGAATATAGTTTCAAAATCTGTTATCAAAAGACTAAGTCTTAAGGTCGAGTCATATCTAACCTCATTCAAAGTAGCTTGGGTTAACAAAACCACTTGACCCGTGATTAAAAGATATCTAGTACTAATAAAAACTAGGCGATTACCAAGATGAGATTTACTATAACATCCTACCAATGGATGCTACACATATTCTTTTAAGTCAGCCTTGGTTATATGATCTTAATGTTACCAATCATGAGAGAGAAAATACATATGTCTTTCAATACAAACGCAAATCCATTATCTTGTGATCAGCAAAACCATCAAAAAAGAACAAAACAAGAACTCCCAGATCTCTTCCATAAGCCCTAACCACTAAGGTACTCTACTTACTGAATCCTAAATCTTTTGAAGTAGAGAGCCTAGACAACAAATTTTTTTGTGACCATCATTGCTAGAAAAATTCCTAGCCCTTGCACTATTCATAGTCTAACTCTTGAGGTTAAATCCTTATTAAATGAATTTTCTGATGTCATACCCGTAGAATTACCCAATGAGCTACAATTATAGGAAATTTAACATGTCATTAACCTTATCCCAAGATCGTAGTTCCTTAATCTCTCACATTATAAAATTTATACTAATGAGTGATGTGGTAAACAAGCAAGTTGAAGAACTTTTAGTTTAAGGCTTTGTACGATATAACCTCAACCCTTGCATTGTCTTTGCCTTGTTAACTCCTAAGAAAGATGAGTCTTAGAAGATTTATGTTAAAAGCCAAGAGATCAACAAAATAATAATCAAATATCACTTCTCAATTTCTCGACTTGAGGATATGCTAAATCTTCTCATTGGATCTAGTTGGTTACAACGAAAAGTCAACAATTAATTAGCCTAGAAATTCTAAGAGTTACGTTTAAAATTGAAAAAATTTTCTAAGGACTCCTTTTGTATTAAATGCATTTATTTATTATTTAAAAATCCTACAAATTATATTTTAGATTTCTAAAGTGCATACTAATTCTCTAAGAATTATTCTTGAGAATTATTATTTTCATTAATTATTCAAAGACTCCTAAACCCTTATAAATAATGAAGCTTATTAATAGATCAAACACTTCATATTTGAATAAAAAAAAACACTTATATCTTCTCTCTTATTCTCTTGCATTCTTCTTTTGCTATCTTGCTCCGTTACTTTTTCTCTGGTCTTTTTTGCTACTTTGTTCTACATCAATATCATTTATCATTATATCTAAACAAACAAAAAGAACAGGATGTCATGATGTAATTATATTTAAACTATACAACATATAAACACAAGAAAACACCGCATGAGCTGAAGTTTTGAACTACCTGCGATGACTGGCTTCTTCTAGATGCTGCTCCACCATCTGCTCCTCCAAACTCTTCATCAATACCATCAAAATGATATTCTAACATATTGGTAGACGCTACAGAACCCACCCATATGAGCATCATAGGTTGATCTAAGGCTAACCCTACGTGTATCATCATTTCTTAATTGCTGCCAATCCCTTGATGATCTGAAGCTGTCTAAGACATGAGAAACGATACAAGAGTTCCACCAATTGCCATCATTCCCAAGGAAACTCTTCAAATTTATCATCACTCTATGGCCCATGCTCAGTGATACAGTCCCCAAACACCACCAATTGAGGCACTTCTTCATGAATAATACTCAACATCTATCATTTCTGAGAACCACTGATCCGCATATATGATGGCCAAGAGTGAGGGTGTTCTTGTTCGGCATGTTATTGCACTTCCATATAGTTGCCAACATACAAACAATGCCTATCTTTGCAGCATCTTCTTTTCATGGTAAGCTATGCACGGACCTCATCAACTAAATCAACCATGTTGAGCTCCCTCGACACAATTGGTTCTATTCGGATGTTCCAGTTGTTGCCAAAGAGACTGGACTGGACTGGACTGGCAAAAGATTCAAATAACTGAAATTTATCAGACAAAAAAAAAGTGTAGTTCGAATTCATGGGTTCTGCATAACAATATCTGTAGCTAGATCTAAAGTAATCCACAGTTTGGCAACAATAAAGCAGAAATAAGCCAACATGTATTATGATTTCATTACCCAAATATGAAAGTGCTCATAAATCAATCAACATCTGGTCAGTTCAAATAAGAGATAATTCATTAAAAACCACTGTGTCTGCAAGAGAGAGATCATATGGCTATTTCAGATCAAATATATAAACCAATATTCTTGACCAAAAAAAAATATTAATTACAATAAATGCACATGCATGAATTAAAGTTACCAACTATAGTTAACCTATCCTTTTACAAGCCGTAATATAATATTGTGATGATTAGCCTTTAAAAACAGAATGAACAATTACAAGCCTAATCCGTAGCATCAAAAGAACCCCTCAGCTCCCTTAATTTCAATTCATCCTTGTCATCCAACAACCAGAAATTTTCCAGTAAAGACAATATATGGTTCTAACTCGGACGATCCAAAATCAACCCTTTCTGCGAGATAGAACAAAGTGAAACACCTGCAATGAATACAGTCCTAACGAATCCGAAATCTCAATCGCGAAAAACACCTAAGCAATCAACAGCATTATTACTTATCATCTACATCATCGAATCATTCATAAGAAACGATACACCTTCACAGACCATAAAGTAAAGCAATTACCTAGAAATCCCGACAAAGACGCAAAACTGAAATCATAGACCGGACTCCCGACTAGGAACGAAAACCTAGCCGTGTTCCCTCGGGCGACTGCTATCGGAGTGGATTAGATCAGAAGATCCAAACCCTAAGCACCCTTAGGCGAGCTTGCGAGGGAAAGGGCGAAGACGCCGGGAAGTCGTTGGCCAGTTCAAGATTTGCGAGCTAATAAGTCCGATCCATTGGTTGTCCTCTCTGTTATACTTTAGTGACACTAGAGCCTATGAGGGTAATAATGATAATAAAATTCGGGTTGACGTCAGTTACTCTAGGTACCTCTGTTAACCTAACAGCATCTGATCAATACAGATCAGAACACCAACCGAGATACATTAACATCCCGCTCAAACTCGGTCTTTCATGCCATGTCAACGTCGATGTCAGACGTTACCAGGAGTACGATCCTGCTCCCTGCAAGCGGGTACATCAAACAACGGTAATCTTCACTATAAAAATCCTTATGCTCCGAGAAAAAAAAGGAGGAGAATAACAAAAAAACCCCTTGACTATTCACTAACTTGATTGTCAGAGGGGTCGGGCAGAGTCGAGCTCTCCCGACCCGACTTATGTGCAGGTGCAAAGACAGAGGCCTCCCACTAAATGCTCAGGCGAGGAACCCCCTCCCGGAGGAAACGGTGATCCCTTCGCGATCGGACCACCGCAGTCGGTCTTCTGCAGTCTCAAGGGTCGTTCCAAGAAGATCCCCCATCATTTGGATCCGAACCAAGCTGCATCGGTCCCGAGATCATGACTTAAAGTTGTTCACACTAACGGAGCCCGATAACCCGAGAATCCGCTGCAATTTTCCGGCACTGATCCTCAGCTAGGATCCGATATAGACAGTACTTACTATTCGCCGTCTCTATTATACGTATTCGTGAAATAATGAAAGCTACGTCACATTATTCTACGCGGGTTATTCCCATTACTACGTGTTTTCTTGCGGAGGCTTTGACATCTTGCGGAGAAACCAAAGATAAGGAAAAGAACCCATGGAAGATTACATATGCCATCTCTTTCTCATCCACCAATACGTTACAGCCACTTTCTCCTTTTTTTTTTTACTCTCATGTATATATGTATGACATTCCGCAGCCACTGCCTGTAAAGCTGATTTTTGAGATAGACTACGACATTAATTGGGCTCGTAAACCCCATTTAACACGCGAAGCTTGGCGGCTTGCCTTCCAGCCGACGTCATACTAAGAGGATACAGCCAAGAGAATAGTCCAAACACGGCTGCTGCCACTTGGCACGAGATACGGACGTTGGCGTGACAGTCTCGTGATGAGTCATCATGACGTGACGGGCACTGTGGCGCAGCGAGCTGCGCATCCGCTGCGTCATTACAGTCTCAGTCCGGGGAAGGAATCCGATGGTTAGCTCATCCCGTACGCAATCAAAAGATTCTGGTTTCGGGTCCCCTTGACTGATGGATCGAACGGTGCCGGTGTGGTGGGGCCATAGCTCTACCAAAAGGCTTATAGTGTCAGCGGGACCCACCCACTGGCCTCGTGCCTTTTTCTACCGGATAATTCCAACCGACCACCCAAAGTTTACCCAATTAAACGTCTCCCTCGTACAACTGAACCCAACTTTCGGCGGAGGGTCCACCGAGCAGGTGGGCCCATTCCAGTTGTAGAACAGACCCGAAGCGCTCGGCACCACCTCGGTGGGCCCCGATCTCCTTGGCATCCGAGGCTGCCCCGGGAGCCCTTCCGGGTCGGATCCTCTCGATATCCCACGTGTATCTTTTCCGTTTGGGTCGAATTAGGCTACTTGTTTTGGAAATTGGGTTAGACACCTCAATGAAATTTGAAATAATTTAGGTGCTTAATTAATATATGTGAAAAAATATTGTTGATTGTTAAGGCAAATTATAAACTAAAATTTGGGACGGAATACCAGCATTTTAGAATCTTTAAATAAGCATAAATAAATTTTTTTATTTACCATAGAGTTGATCGATGTGTTCGATGATAGTAATATTGTGATCCATGTACTCTTAATAAAACACAAAAATGAGACTGATTTATCGACAATCTCATGATCTATAAACTCTTATAAAAACGATAATAATGATACTATAATATCATGTTCTTTTTATTCTTTTATTTTTTTAGTAAATTAACTTCAAACTGTATTATCCTAAAATTTCCATATTTTTTAGATTAAATTTTTATTCATTACATTAAATAACATATAATACATTCGAACATGAGATATAACAGTTAGGATGTCTCAGCACAGATTAGAATCTCTATTAATGCCAAATAAATCTATGTTTCCCTGTATTCATGGTTATATTAATATGTTGATAATCATATGATAATACAAATATGATTCGTCCGTAGCATATAAACGAGGGGCCAAATATATACGTGGGTCGAAACGATTGGTCCATTATCCTGGATCTTGCTCGGGTCTTTTCACAGAGATCTTGCTTGAAAATTAAGCGGTTCACTTCGGGTTCGATGGGCACAAGAGGAACAACCCGTAACAGCGATCGCCCGCCTATAAATAGGTCGATGGAGGTCGGGCCTCTCATTTCGTTTTATTTTTTGGTTCCTCCCTCGTGTTCCTCACTGTGGCGGTGGCGAGAGAGTGGGAGAGAAAGAGCGAGAAGGGGGCGGGGGTTGCGGGTTAGGGTTTTGCTGGTTATGGTGGGATTGTGAGATATGGCCGGGGAGAAGCCATCGGTGGAGCTCTGCAAGGGCGTCAATGGCCTCGACAAGGTCGTGCTGAGGGATGCGCTGGGCAGCTCAGCCGAGGTCCCCTCTTTCTTTGCCCCCTTCTGCGAATCTGCCTTTTTGGTTCCCACAAATTTCTTCCTTTTTATAACAAACGATCTAGAATTTTAGGTCATTTGCTTTTCGTTGTTTCATGGTTGAGATGGATCTGTTATAATTTCTTTCGATCTCGTGTCATCGTATCGTCTGATTTGAGTTGTTCTCTCTTGATCGCGCATTCCACGACGAATCCGTGCGGAAATGGTGGGATCTCTATAGTCTTCACATATACGAAGTCTTTTTATTGGTTGCTTACAGTATCATGTTAAGGAACAGCATACGGCATGCGATAACAATCAGATGTATCAAATCTGTTAAATTGCGCAGAAAAGAATCGAACCTCGTAGTGATCAAGAATTTCTCTAATTGTTCGTTAAGTATCATGTTCTAAGGAAATTAATCGAGGGGTTTGGCCTTTGCATGTCAGTCAGATGATCTGATCTCTTTGAGAAGCAATTTAAGGTGAAAATTTTTGTACATTTTCTAGTATCTGTTATGTTACAATGGGTATATTCGTGAATCACATATTTTAATGATGAATGTAGATCTATTCAACAAGTTGCCCTGGTAGAGAACTTGTTATACCATGAAATAAGTGATTCGCTCATCATTAGATATTAGTTTCCAAGATAATTTATCTGGGTAGCCATGAGCTGTTTTCTTTGACTATCTAATTCTTCCAGCTGAAGTGATTGGTTTTCTCCTGGTTTTGGTTTCTACAATGCTGCTTGGTGGTTCTTTATTATTGCTCCGTTTTAGGTGAAATGGGCAGTGACCTATATCAATGCAGCAATAAGCGTGTTATTATGGTACTTAGGTAATCGTAATAATCATAGCGTGGTTCATGTCACATAATTGCTGATAAGAGTTCATATTGCTTTTGGGAAAGTGGTGTATTGATCGCAGTGCTTCTTCCATAGACCTGTAACAGCTTAAATTTAAAAATGTTTGTTGATAAAGAGTGAACTTGCTTAAGCTTTTCCTTTGGAGAAGTCTAGTTTTAACGTTATTTTGCTCCATATTGCTTTTAAATTGGCACTGACACTTAGCATGAAGTTCCCTGCTATAAGTTTGTTACACCATGTACTTGTAAAAAAAGGCTTGGGGTTAAGACGATCCCTCTTGTTGTCTCCAATGGAATGAGAAGGCCTTTGTCTTATCATTGCCCTTGTAGTTTCTAAAGCATTGAACATGTCCTGATGATAATAAGATGAGAAGGTATATTGGCAAATCTGCATTAGTTGCATATACTAAGTTGGCATTTTGTCTGATGATTCATTGTTGTAATATGTCATAATGGCCAAATCACGGGATGTGAATCCAAGTGCTCATCGACTACAGCTGTGTAGTATGTCTTATGGCCTATCATCTATCTACTCTTGATTCTTTCAGACTAATAGAAGTGGGAGATTTATGAATTCTTTGAAAAGCATTTATCAGAGTAATTTATGTTTTTTTTCGATTGACAGATTGCATTTAGCCACCTTTTTCTCCTTTTTCCAAGTCATTTTATGTGCATTAAAATTCTAAATATTAGCACATGTAGTGGAATGACAAATGAACACTCATGTAAGTGTAAATTCAAGGATTATTTTGCTATGCTCATGAAACAACTACTGTGGAAACTGTAATTTTCATTTCTTTCTTCTTTTTTAGGAGGGAGAGAATATTGCAGTCCCCTTTTTTTGGTCATCTTCTTCCTCACTGATCCTCTTATTTTCTTTTTGAGCCCTGTCATCTTACATTACCACTCATTTTGGTCCCATGACTATCTGATAGATGCTTCAAATATAACAATGTTTTGATGGTTGACTAATTATGAACATATGCTATTAGTAGTGTGGTATTTTTAAGTGGCTATAATTGGTGTTTACAATTCTAGATTTATTTCTTCTACTAATCTCTTTTTCAACCATGTTTCTCCAATTTTCTGAAATTAACCATGACTTAGATTATGAATTGTATCTTTAAGTAAACAAAAACTGAACAACTGGTATGAACTCATGCCAGAGATCAATTATTATTGCTTTCTACGTTTGCAGTGTCGTTCATAAGTCTATTGGAACAATTACTTGATCATTTAATTGGGAAATATTCATTTTACTGAACCTATGCTTATTGGATATAGTTTGTTGATTTGGCTGGAAAATGAAGATCTTTATCTGTTTACCACTTCAATTTCCTTAATCCCCATTCTCCCACTTTTACTCTCCTCTCTCAAACTTGTGCTGGACCTGCCCCAACTCGTGTTCATGCATGTGTTAATTAGTTTCTGTCATGTTTTCTGCATTTCTGCAATATTTTTTATGTTGTTTCTTTTATGATAATAATTGTTAACTCATTTTATAACTAATGTCCATTTGCAGGTGTACTTGTTTGGAGGTCATGTAACATCCTGGAGAACTGATCACAGGGACGAGTTGCTTTTTGTCAGCAATAAGGTACTCTCATGTCATGTTTACTTCTCAGTCCTTACTATTTGCAAGATAGTGTGTTAATGTAAGACTTTGTTGACACAGTATCAGTCTCTGAGGTAGTAAACCAAAGGTCTTAGGACTATGTATCTGGTACCTGGTTGGCATTTGGAGCACAGGCATGTTGAGGTGCCTGAAAAACCCATATAGTGAAATTCTTGATGAATATTTCAAGATTTAGCTGACTAATCCTGACATGTTGCTTATTGTTATGCCTTGACTGTCTTTGTTCTTCTGAGATTTTAACTAAACTGAAGCCATCTACACTGGCTGACCATTTGCAAACCAAGTGTGAAGTGCATGCTTATACATTTAAATGCATATATCTATTGTAATTTCTGTTTCGCTTTCTTTATATCTTCTTCCTTACACCTGCAGCTGCATACACAGCTGCCAAGTGTTTTTTGGTTTTTGACCCACTATGGCCTTTATCATCTTCTAACCTATGATGACCTTTTATCATCTTTTGACCTACTATGACCTCTATTATCTTTTTTAATTTAACCTTGCTTTCCATCTTTCTTTAGTATCTCTGTATCATTCTCCTTCTCTTTCTTGAAATTGTATTATGATATTTTGAGGTATCAGCCATGAGAGATTCAGTCTTTAAACTTTATTTTTGCACTTATTGTATTCTGATGATTCTCGAATCATCATACATTTTAGTATCACATATGTTGGTCCAATTATTTTTTGCCAGTACCATGTCTTATGAAGGAGATTGACTTTCTGCTTGAAGTTTGCCACTCTGCCTGGCTTTTATTCTCTCCAAAATTTATCATGTCAAACAAGATTTATTGCCAGCAAAGTTTACCTAAATTCATTTTTTAGAATCATGAGTGCTTTGCAACATCATTTTTTGCAGTTTTATCTTTTCTTGCTGGTTTAAGGTCAAATTACTTGTAGATTTACAAGATGACTTATGAACCATATTAATCAAACTTACATTGTAACATCGATATCTCATCAAGGTGGTAGAGTATAGTGTCCCCATGATGGAGCAGGTTAACTAGTGCTTCTAGCTATAGTGATGGTTGGAAGCTGTTATTTCATACTTCCTATCCACCACTTTTGCTTTTATAACTACATATGGGTTGCTCTGGGGTCACATACTTTTCTTCATTGTTTCTTGCAGGCTATTTTCAAGCCCCCAAAAGCAATACGTGGGGGCATCCCAATATGTTTTCCCCAAGTAAGAGCTTTTGTTGTTACGTTTTTTTTCCATTTATGCATTTTTTTAAGCATAAAAGTTTTGATCCCCACAACCTAAAAATACCCTAAAAATGCAGTTTTCAAGCCATGGAAATCTTGAACAACACGGATTTGCCAGGAATAAGTTTTGGAGTATTGACACTGATCCACCACCTTTTCCATCAGACAGTTCAAACAAGACTTTTGTTGATCTGATTCTGAAGCCAACTGATGATGACTTCAAGATATGGCCTCACAGGTTTCTGTCTTTCAGTCAACAATTTTTATTATTGGTTTGCCACTTTGTTTCATGCTTTCAATTTTTTTTTTTTTGCTTTCTTATTATGTTGGACTCCTTTCTTTTGCAAGTTGCATCCACTTTTGTGTTAATAAATACTTAATCTTCTATTACAGTTATGAATTCCGTCTAAGAGTTGCATTGGGCCTTGGAGGAGATCTCATGTTGACATCACGCATAAGAAATACCAATGCTGATGGAAAACCGTTTTCATTTACATTTGCATACCACACTTATTTTTCAGTTTCTGATATCAGGTTTGTCAAAAAATTCTTACTGAGGTTTTTTGTGTCTTTTAAATATGTTTTATATCTTCAATTTCATTCTACATATTTTCTGAGTCTCTATCCCCATATGCACTTTTGTCTTCTTTTTGGAGTATATATAGATGCCCAAATTCCCTTGTATGAACAATTATTGAATTTAAAAGTGAATAATCTACAAACAGCAATATGAATTAAGTGGCAAGGATAGCACGGAGCACATCACAAATATGCATGGCTCAAGAGTTATAGCATCATAAGAAAAAAAAAATGGAATAAGCAACAAAGTCAACAAAATATTTCAAAAATATAACAAATTGAGTAATTGATAATAGTCTATTACTTGTTAAAGACTATTATTCAATTTTCTAAAGACTATCAAAGCACTGTATATATAACTTGTTTGTTGCATCAAACTTCAAGAAGTAGTAAAAGGACAGAAAAAATAGCAGTAAAATGTGACAGGTTAGTTGGGATGGATTTTGTAAGCAATGGTGGGCCACTAATCCACATCTGTTGTTCCAAGTCCAACAAACATAATATTTTTTGGTTTCTGGTACAAATACATGCAGAGATATAAGTGTGACAGATGCAGGGTTTTGTACACACCTAGACTGAGATGGAAGGAGCTGATATTCTATGAGCATACCAGAACAGGGAATGAGGGAGTGAGGGAGAGAGATGGAGGTGATATGCTGGACTGGTTTAGAAGTTAGAGAAAGAAAGAGAGGAAGGAGAAGACAAGGAGAAAGAGGATGAGGGACTAATCCACAAACATCTGTTTGTTCCAAGTCCAACAAACATAATATTTTTTGGTTTCTGGTACAAATACATGCAGAGATATAAGTGTGACAGATGCAGGGTTTTGTACACACCTAGACTGAGATGGAAGGAGCTGATATTCTATGAGCATACCAGAACAGGGAATGAGGGAGTGAGGGAGAGAGATGGAGGTGATATGCTGGACTGGTTTAGAAGTTAGAGAAAGAAAGAGAGGAAGGAGAAGACAAGGTGAAAGAGGATGAGGGACTTGCTTGGTGATCCAGTGCTGGGCTCTCCAGATCACGAGAATGATGGATGGAATGGCATGGGATCTGTACAAAGGAAAACTAAGATAAGGAGAAAGAGGATTAGGGACTTGCTTGGTGATCCAGGGCCGGGCTCTCCGGATCACGAGAATGATGGATGGAATGGCATGGGATCTGTACAAAGGAAAACTAGAGCTAGAGATAAGGGGATGGGTTCTCCACAAAGGAAGGAAAACAAGAACAAACGACCTTAATTGATGATACCTTAAAATCAAATATTTGGAAATACAAGTTGCAGCACAGGCTTATCATATAACTCAAACTATGTCATGTCAATGCAACTACCTCTTGTCAAAAAACCATAATTCAATGTGCTGCAACCCAACAAGCCAGCAGTTGGGTTGCATCAAACACAGGTCCACATACTAATGTTCTTTTGGCAGCCCCTTCCTGACTGCAAGCTTCAGCTGTTATTTCATGTTATCTTAATGGTTGCTGTACCTCTATATTCTTCTATTAACTGCTGCTGCATTTTCTGCTAACTGGATTTATTTGCATAGATTTAAACTGAGGATCAGACCTCTCATATGAAGATTTAACTCCTTTTTTTGTTTTGTGAACTTCATTGTTCATCCCTTTTGACTGTATTGGCATGCTAGTGCATCTCCTTTATTTGAAAGAGGTACTGGTGCATGTCTTCGAAGTTTGCAAGGCACAGACTGTACCTGCTGTTATGGACATTTTGCATATTAACCTTGTTTAGATGTTAATTATAGAAGGTTTCTTATCTGAGATTATAAATCACGATAACAGTACCTTAAAGCCTTTAAATGGCTGATAATCTTAATTCAACATTTGCATATATGGTTAAATCTTATTACAATCAAAATTATCCTAGAATATGCAATTAAAAAGTCGCACTGAAAGAAAGCAAGACCAGAAGGGCAATTTGATGTAGGCATGGAAGTGTTTTATGGGAGTGGTGCATTGTGTTTCGGTAATTACTGATTTAACTTCAATTCTGTAATTACTAATGCATTGCAGTAGTAAGACATACTGTACGGCAAGCAAAAGTATATTGATACCTATAAATTCTCATATATGTTAATCTTTGTTGAACTGATTAGAAGTTTACATGCTTAGAATGGGTTTTTCAAGTTGGCACATGCCAGTTCAAATTGTTCTGGAGTATTTAGTGCACATACTTCTCTTGTTTGGCAGCATGTGGTGTAGTTGATTTTTCTCCCTTACCGACTTCCTTGGCTTCAATTTCAAGTTGATGTTTCAGTGAAGTGCGGGTAGAAGGTCTGGAGACATTGGACTACCTTGACAACTTGAAGGAAAGAGAACGTTTCACAGAACAAGGAGATGCAATTACATTTGAATCAGGAGTGAGTAAACGAGCATTGTATTGTTGCCCTTGTAATTTGTTATTGAACACTAATTGTTAGATAATTGTTTTGACTGAAAAAGGTGGATAAAATATATTTGAGCACACCAACCAAGATCGCTATTATAGATCATGAAAAGAAAAGGACTTTTGTTTTGCGCAAAGATGGACTTCCAGATGCCGGTAAGTCTATGTGACAATCTTTTTTCTCCTGTTTGTTGTTTTTGTGAACTTTTTATATTCATGATTTTGACAGGAACAACTGGTTAGATGAATGAAACAAGCTTCCAAAAACAGTTAAGAGAAGGCTGAAGCACACAATCTGGGTTCCTAAGATGGATAAGATGTCTGTTTCAGCTTAAATTCTGGTTTTAATTAACACATGGTGTCAACTGTAGGAATAAAATAATATTAAAATTATCAATTACAACTTAAATAATGGATGTGGAGTGAAAGGGGAAAATTTTGAAGGGTGATGGAAGAAACTAAACATTAGGACAAGCATAAAAGAGATAAAGAGTGTGTACCCGAGTTGGTCATAAAAGAGCCTTAGTTCATTAATTCAGGCGATCATTTTGTTTTGAAGTTTGAATCTAAATTGACCCAACTTCTAGTCAAACTGGACCTAACTAACAAGATTTGTGGTGAAATAGTTATCCCAATTATTCCATCTGAGAGAGGCATCTAGAACTTTGAAAACTCTGACTTCTAATGCACAAACAATGTTTCCAGCCAATTACTACTACATGATAGTAGTACTCATATTCATTGATTCTACTCAAATTATGAATACAAAAACTATTATTCTACTATATTAACATGAACTCCAAGCGATCCAACCATAAATCCTTGCATTGAGCGAGAAATACATCATTTTTGATGAATAAAGTAATGGTTATCTGTTGACAAATTGTCAATTAAGCAATCATGTTTCATATGTTTGGGCCAGTCTTTTGGATATAAAGATCCTGTTTTAGATTCTGTCCTCACTGACTCTTTTCCTTCACCTTTCTTCAACCATTGCAGTGGTATGGAATCCTTGGGACAGGAAGGCCAAAGCAATGCCAGATTTTGGGGACGATGAGTACAAGCATATGCTTTGCGTGGAGGCTGCAGCCATCGAGAAGCCCATCACTCTGAAACCTGGTGAAGAATGGAAAGGAAGGTTAGAGCTGTCTGCTGTTCCCTCCAGCTACTGCAGTGGGCAACTGGATCCTCGAAAGGTTCTTCAAGGATGATGTCTATCAGATGTGTCTTGTACAGGTACCATATTTAAGTGATGATATACTAGATCTTAAGTGTTTGCTAAACCATGATAATAGTAGGTCGGTACAGTTCATTTTAGCTTCTAATACTTAGCTTGTAATCCATTTTGGAACATCTCATTTTGAGTGGTATCATACAGGTAACGAGTAAGACCAAATCATATCTAATTTGAAATCTTGATTAGGCAAATGCTAGTTAACACTATTTTTTAGTCTGTAGGCAGATGTTACAGCTACTGCAGTTAGTTGCATGACTTCGATTAAAATTTTAAATCAGAGACTTGATCTTATTATATAAGATCAATTTGTTGTCGGTAGGATAGTAGGTTCTGTTCGTCTAGGTATTTGACTTTGTTATGTTGTAATGATTCTTGCAGGCACTAATTTGTTGCATAAGGGTGCTTGAAATTGGCTTTGGGATGGACGTTCTCCTCCTCCATTTTCCTTTATGATCCGTGTACCTAGAAGTTTCATTGGAATAATAGTGCCCTGTACATCAATTTGGCTCCCCTCTATTAAGCAGGAGTTCCAACCTGAATCATTGGGGTACTACACTATTTGGTGCTTCATACTTGACTTTTTTTTTTTCTTTTGTGTATTTATACCATGTCATAAAGCAGCAGTTCATGGAGGATGAGGAGGCATGTGGATGCCTGTCGCTCGTCTTAGATAGTAGTATTCTTCCTAACTGTAGAACTCGTACTTCCTGGTTGAAATGCTCGTGATATGGGGCTCTCTCCAAGTTGCAAGCTGGTGCTTGGCCATCTTTCTTTATCCAACACCTCTTTTATTTTACTCTCTATATCAGGCCATAAGCTGGTGCTGTTGAGCCTTCGGTTCGATGGTTTCCTGCTAGTCTGAAAGTTTGAACTCATCAACAATCGAGGGCCTAAGTCAGTCCCTTAGATGCACACGATACCTACGGAGATCAAATGGTCTATCGGTGTCCATTAGATGATAGAAGTGGGGAACGGGATTATTCATGTGTTTCCACTCTGTTACTGCTACCTATTTGTGCTATTGCAGTTAGCAGTAGCCATCAACTAACACAGGATCTTAAAAGTATACTTATTGAACAAAGATCACTAATTAGTATTTGGGAAAAAAATTATCTTAATAGTATACTTACCCAAATTCTTTTGCTATTGTAAGTTCGATACAATCGATTTCTGTTTTTTTTTTTTTTTTGGCTTTTTGGCAAAGAAGGATGAAGATAAGGATTCAGGATATTACCAAATTCTATTAAGGTTTTTACCAACTAAGAAAGTTGATGCCTTGGTACCTGAAGTGTCTATCTACTATGATGTTTATATGTAACAGTTTGTTTAATCTCATGTTTGATTTTGTGAGAATGGAATTTGTCGTGGGGCTCAGAGTAGATAAGTAAAACAATAATCTTGTCGAGTTGTATGCCTCCATTATTTGCAAGCATCACCAATTCAATAACATGCTACGTCTACAGATTATAAAGCATTTACCATCTTTCCCATCTTCTTACAAATATTCACCACCATATATTGCTCCAAAAGATTTTCAATATTTTTAACAATTCAAAACAAAGTGCCGTCTGCAAATCTTCCTAAAATTTGCAATTTCATGTACTTTTTACCCTGAAGAAGGCCATTTATGTAGAGAGCGAGTAATTAACGGTGCCAAAGGTACACACATCTCGGCGTTCAGTAAGCCAGTGGTAGCGTAGGACACGCAGTGTTTGTGACCATGAAACTTTGTCCTGCTTGTCTCATCCAAACAAATCATCGATACTTTAAGTACATGAAAATTGATGCAAAGGGTTAAATGAAAATACACTTGATCGCATTACTGCGACATCAACTTCTTTCTCTATACATATATTAGTTCTACTAACAGAAATCAAATGCTATATCTCTTACCTGTAAAAGAATTGTTATTACATCCATTGAACAATACCTTTGAAGAAATAGGCCTCACACATAAAATCAGACCTGCATCTCCTGCATTTGCATCACATTGACTGAACACAAACTATTCGACCAACAGAGACCTGCTCACAATAGAAGACAACTATAATTCCCAACCTAGAAGCCTCTTCAATGTCATAGGGACCATAGTGAGGCTGTCCTTCCCAATCATTTGGGAAAAAGGCCAAATACATCCAGAAACTTTATCATGTTCCATCCACAGCTGAAAAAGAGAAAGAAAAATAATAATAATGTTATTTACAAAGTGATGAGAACTTTCGATGAATGATAGAAAGTTCAAATGCACTTTCTTGTGGGCTAGCTACATGGAAGGGTGTCAAGAGGTTGGAGACACAGATGCTTTGCAGATGGGACACCAGTTCTTTAACCCAAGCCACTGGTGGATGCATTTTACATGGTAAGCATGCTCACATGCCAACTCCCCCAACTCATCTCCAACAACAAATTCTTCCTGGAAAACCAAAGAAAAGAACGACACTAGAAGAAGTCAGTTACTAAGACACAACACAAAGGATCACATATCATGATTGCAATGGCCAACAAGTACACATCTTTGGAGGCCTAGTAGATCCCACACCAAAAAAGCAAGCTCACTAGTTACCACACTTTCATCCTCTTTGCTGGCAGATGAATCCTTGAATCAAAATTTAGAATGTCGTAGTTTATAGTTATTTAATGACTGTTAAAACTCATTGTAGTCTAAAGAACACGATGCCTATAAGAGAGTTTCATCACCGGTTCCCAGAATAAATAACAACATCCCAAATGGCTGCCTTTTCTAATAGTCATCTAGACAGTAATGGCCGTCGCTTCCCTTTACAGTGCACTACAATAGCCGGTTCTCATGATGGATATTTTCTCACATATAGTCCTTGTGATGGATGATAATTATTTCAGGGGTATCCATTGTATAGTAATTACAAGGAGAAATCATTTGAGTTTCTTGCTTAGATTAGTCAGGCTTTCTTGGTTTTAATGCAGAAGGAAACCATAATTCAACCATGAGATTAAAGCACTCATGAAGTTTAACTATTTAATCCAAAGATCTTTCCTTTACATAGATAAAAAAACTTCCTTAATTGTTAAAAATGAGGGTCGACTTTGTCAAAGCTAAATTAACAATAATTTGTCATATGTATAGTACAGATATGTCATATCTTTGTGATTAACATGAAATAAGCAACAAAGCTGCAAAGGAACAAATGGATGCCATGAAACCAACAAAAAAATCAGAAGCAAAAGATTGTTACCAAGAAAATAAAGCATTCAGAGGCAAGTAAACTTAGATGATGCAAATAATATCTGATATGTATCTGAAAAGTCTGGACAAGAGGATTGTACCTGGCATATACTGCATTTGGCACCAGCTTCATCAAGTCCAGAGAACCCAGAGATCAATGAGGCAGGCATGTAATTGCTTCTCTTCAAGCATCTTGATAAAGCTTCCTCTGTCAGGGCTGTGCTCACAGTACCAATTTTCTCTTCCAGGACTAGCAATTCCTGTTCAAGAGAAAAAAAAAAAGGTTCCTGAGATATTCTCATTTGTGAATTCCTACAAACTCTGTTATCTCAGATTGGTTTAGAAATTAAACAGCAATAGTAATGCAAAAGAGAGAGATTTCTGGGGACATAAACCATCCCATTGTTAATTTGAGACAAGTATTAAAAGTGATCAATAGAAAGATGGGCCTTAGTAAAATGGTAAGTTTGCTCCTTTACACCGAAGGCTAGAGTTCGAGTCATGGAAATAACCCTCCCTAAACCCCGCATTGACGAGAGTCTCGTCCACTGATATGTTATTTTATTAAAATTATCAATAGGCATTGCAAAAGACAAGTGCACCAGCACCATACGACAGTATGTATCACTGCTTCATCCTTGAACACCTAAATTTTAATTAGCATGGAGCATTAAATAGTTTTATTCTTGGTTGGAGATGAAAAATTATTATAAATGTAACACAACGAACAAGTACATCAGACTTAACTTTGATCAACTCACACATTTGAATTAGTATGGTGATGCAGATGCAACACAATATATGAATGACATTTCCGATAGAACTGCTAACTAGTTCCTGGTCTTCATCATCCAGGAGTTACCAGACTACCATAGTTTGAACCTTGACAACATAGATAGAATAGATAGCAAAATAAAAAGCAAAAAATAAACAAAAAAAAAGACTCTTCTTCCATCAAAGGGAACTCAAGAAAACAACCCATGAGCAAATTTCATGACACTACATGACTCAAAAATAGAACAAACCTCATATGACATATTATCAATGTCCATCCTCATGTCTCTGTACTGGTCATTGAAGCTCAGACTGTCCAAAAATAAATGATTCCCAAGAAGCGATAATTGCTGCAGGAACAACATTCCTATTGTTAACACATAATTTAATGAATAAGAATATCCAAATTGATTTCTCATGCTTCTTTGACTTTATAAAGTAGCACTTATTATTAGAAAGAAGTTATCTATGAATCATGAAGCAAATGACAACCTCATATGTTAATCCTTCATCTTCGATCCTCTCTAGTGCTAATAACAACTGCATGTCAAAAGACGTCTAAGTCACTTTCAAAAGAATAGAGGTTTTTCAGGCAAAAAAGTGATTAGAAGTAACCCCATACTTGGCATTTCTACAAACTTCAAAAGAGTATAAAAGCAATTTAGGTACATCCTCAATCAAAATATTTGGTGATTTAAAATAATTGAGATAACTAGTAATAACTGAATTGAAACATCATAATCAAAAGTTCTTTTACTTGTTTCATTTATTAATCACATTGCAATTCCTGTTTCTCTGGTTATATCCACCCAGCTTTCATTATCTAAATGTAGGGTAAGTAAACAAAAGATAGCCATTATGACAATAAGTTTGACAGTACCTCAGCGACTTCTTCCATGACTAAGTGTGGATAGCCATCTCTATCTTCCAAAGAAGCATCAAATGTATGTGTGCTACTTGCTACAGGTTCATGAATTTGTCCAATAGGAGCAATCCGAGTGCTGGATCCAGGTTGTCCATGTACATTGTGACAAAGAGGATTAAAATCTGTTGACAATCTTGATGAACTTTGAGGAACACCTCTTACTCCATTTGGTGACTGGTTTCTAGACCTTCTTGGAGCTCGACGAGGTACATCCAGGCCTGAATTTGTTCCACTTGACGATGGGATCATGCTTTTGCCACTGGAAGATGGACTTGCCTTGTAAAGGGATCTCTTTCTTATATTATTAGCTGTTCTGCTACTTCCAGAATTAGGTGAGTTAAAACCTGATGGACGAACATTGGATACGCCTGCCCGTGTTGGATTTTCCAACCCATATGCATGGGCCATGCTGGTGCTGGCAAATGTACTTAAATTATCTTTGTAGTGATATCTGGACTGTCTAGTGACTTCCTTAGATGTTTTTGATCTCAATTTATTGCTGCAGGATTCCTCTTCTCCGGTTGTGGAGTGCGAGTCTTCTTTCTTCCCTAGTCCTCTTCTGGAGTCTGAATCTTTTATATCCAGAGATCTGCTAGTGCACTTAATTTTATCACTCTCTCTTTGGCTATTACTGCTCTCTGCAACATCTGCTTCTTCAGGAGATCTTCTAGTCCTTCCTCCTCGTTGAGGCCTTCTAAAACTACTAGCAGGTAATAATTTAGATGATCCTGTGTGAAAGGGAGCTTTGTCTTGTTCTCCTACCTTGGTGCCTTTCATCGAATAGAAATTAGCACCACATCCTAACCGGCTACAGGATCGGATGCTTCTAGCATGGTGATTTTGTTCTCTAAAGGTAATACTACAACCACTTTTGGAAAAGATTATTCCACTAGCAGTCCTTCTACCCATAGAACAATCCATGCCAGAGCAAAGATCACCTATTGGAAAAAAAGAAGCAGCTTTCGATCATTCAGCAACACCAGGTGTCAAGAGTATAGAAAAAAATAGAGCAAAAACACCAATTTGAGAAAAAAACAATTGCAATTATCATTCATTCAGCAACACCAAACTTCTTTGTTTCAGGAGTAACATAAAATGAACTAGCACAAATGTTTTATATAGTATAAGCATGCAAAATAAAGCGTAACAGGATGGTGAACTATGTTCAGATAGGAACATCCACTTTAGTTGATTATTCAGAATAAGTACCATGACACTGTGTGCCACTACAAACTATTACAAAAAAAAAAATGGACAGAAAACGGGATCAGCAAGTGACTAAGCTTTTACTATACAATCTGACCGTAAGACAAAAAAAAGAACAATTCTAAATAGCCATCACTAGCATACAAAAAACCTAAACATCAAGCAATTCAGAATGCATGGCTCTAATAGGAACTTCATATAGTCAGGAGTATATGACCTTAATGGAAACTATGGGGGAATTGATGCATGTTTTTCTGACCGCAACATCTTGTCCCAAGCTATATTGAGTTCAAAAAGTGTGTTGGATTAAAGGGTGTCTCAGAGAAGTAATGCATTTGCTATTGCTATAACATCTGGTTCCTCCAAAAGCCGAAGATTTTCAGATTTTGGTACCATTGATTTATGCAAACACTTGCCAGTTTCACTTTGTTATCCATTTCTTTTTCTGGCTATAGCATCATCAACAAGAAAGCCTTATATTCTGTTCGCAAACAGCATTCAACTAATATAAATAAAGTGAGATACAATGTCTGGATGCATCCACCGGTATGAACTCCAATATATCCTCTAGAAGAATTTGACATCTGTGTTCTGTTATCCCCTGATTCAAGAAAGGCCATCGCAAATATTAATGAATTAACATCTACTTGAGCTAGCAATTACCCAGTGATAGGCAGTTATTAGTGTTTGTCGCATTTGCAGATTTGTCAATTCATTATTTGGGCAAAACAGGGTCTCATAGCTGAAATAGGGTATTTGCATCCTGCATAGGCAATAGATTGTTCAGATGCTGGGATCTAGGTTATCTTATTAGCCTTCATTTCAATCACGCTCTCTATGAACAGGAGGAAAAGTCCATGATTGCGCATATTCATTTCATCCTTTTAGCAAAATTTGATATCAAGTGTTTAAGAAAGTTATGTTATACAACAAATTAGTAGCATGGCACAGAATGAGGAGAAGAAACCTAAGCCCTAGAAATGTATCATCAACAGGGGTGAAGCCTTTCTTACCAGGTGTAGTTTGCCTATATAACAACTCTTAAGTTAAAATGGATCAACAGAATCCAAGTAAACCAGCTATCAGCCTATCATCAACTCATCGATAATTGGTGTCATGGCAAAGTTACTAAACCAAAAAATAAACTTAAGGCCCTTCTTCACAACTTACAAAGCCTATCAGCAAGGAAGAATCTCAAAAAATTCTTAAACAATACATAAAGACAAGAAAAAAAAGGGAACAATGATAACTCTCAATATCCAAAGCTACTAAACCAAAAAGCAGCTAAATGTTCGCCAACGGACACTAGTAATTCAGATGCAAATCACCAATGAACCAATGAAAAAAGAAAAATACAAACATGCCCAGCCATGTTAGGACATAAGCAAAACAAATATTGTATTTGAGAAGATGAATGAAAGATACGAAACAACAGGAAAAACATAGCATAGCACAGCTCCGAGGGTTCAGTTTCAACATCAAACCAGATATTATGAACATTCAGAAAAAGTAAATAAATGAATGATGAAAACCGAAAAACAGAATTAGAAACCAAAGATAATAGTAAATATATTTTCTTGTAGGATAAAGGAAATATCCACTCTATGCTTTTTGGGAAACAAGGAGAACACATCATAATGATCTTCTATCTAATCTAAATTCAACACAATCAACAAGCGCATAGAAGATGACACAAAATTCACCAAAAAGACCCAACAAGGAATTATCAATTCATCCAAAATTAGATAAACATGCGATTCTTCAAGAAACTCCTGGATAAGATGAGATCAAAACTGACGAATGTTTACAGCACCAGACGCCAATCCGTGTGAACACAAAACAACGACAACAAGCTCGAGTCTTTCGGCCGAGAAGACGCTCAAAACCACAAAAAGCACAAATCTTTATGCCGCACAAGATCAAAGCCTTCGCTTCCACGAGGGAACAAGATCAAAGTTTCGAAGCAAGAACTCGATCGAACCAAAAGACAAGGGGTGGAGAGGAAGAGGAGCGAGAGAGAGGAAAAGGAAACCTTTGGTTTGCCTACTCAACCCTCTCTGAGGAAGAGACCAAACGAAATCGTTCCACGGGGAGAGAGAAGAGACGGCGGGGAACGAATCTTTAATACCCAATAGGCGGACGGCAATGGATGGGCACGAGAAAGGAATAGGGGGTGGTCAAAAGTATTGAACGCCTCCCTTATCGGCACCGAGACCGGATCCCAGCCGTTGGATCCGACCCATCGCGCGCCAAGGTCGGATCGGACGGTGATCCGAGGCCCATCGGTCGTTGGGTGACGCTTCCGCGGGCCGCTTGGCGATGGCCGCCAGCGACTCGGTCACCAATGAAGCCCATAGAAGAGGCAATAAGCCGATCGATAGGATGGGAATTCTCCTCTTCTTGCCATTCCTACCCTTACACCACTAAATTCCTAAAGGAACATTTAACGACATTCCAGGAGACAGCATGAAAGTGGGCATCCGGATTTATTTCATTCCCATACATCCACAGCTCAAATTCTCTTTTGATGTTTTGTATATCCATTTCTGTTTCCGATGAGTCGTGAAATTAAGGGCGAAATGATTTCCAAGGGCTAATCATAAAATTCATGTTGTTGTACGCAAAAGTATTATATATGAAGTCGATTCGAGAGACCCTAAGAAACAGAGAAGCCTAATCGATATGTTAAGTTAATTGAGTACCTAAGGTGATATCAAATTGATAAGTGATACTATATATCGAGTTGATATGACAATCGATAGGATATTATAATATGGTGTTAAAGATCGTTCACATGTCGAACTTACCTTTTATATGTACCTAAGAGGCACTTGAGAAAATAAAAACACCTAAAATAATATTTTAATTAAATCATAATTTTTTGCTAAAAAATAGAGAAATTTTATGAAAAAAACCTGATTTTTCACTTTAACCTCAATTTAAATTATGTAGATAATTAGTCGAAGTACAAGGAAAATGAGTAAAATAAGGGAATCTTCTCAAAAATAGTTGGTTTGCTACTCTTGTATTTATTTTTTCTTTTTGTAATAATTGGAGTTTCATGGCGAATTCAATCCTTAGAAATTGATAATGAAATAGAATCAAACCAACTTATGAATTCTTTATTGTCTTAGTTATTAATTGTCTTAGTTAATCTATGCACCTTTCTTCTTAAAATTCAAAGAGTTTTTCCCATCTTTTCAAATATATTTTTATATATTTTTCTAAATTAATAAATAGAGATTCATAAAGTATTTATTGAATATTTGAATCTTAAAATATAAATTTTTTTTCTTCACATAAAGGTCTCCATAAATTTGATTTTTTTTGCATACTAGTCCAAAAAATTGCTAGAATATAACTTAAAGCCATGTCTAATTTATTGTCTTAAACTTTAAAACATACTAATATTGATCAAAAATTCAAGATGGTATTATTGTTAGAACATAAACCAAAACTACATCGGGTTTGATTAAGAAATCAAATAAAATTATATTTTAAATAATTAAAAATAAAATTATAGAGAAAATAAAAACTTGGAATCACATATGATGTTATCTAAGACAAATCTCGTCCCAACATGGATGACGAAGAGAAGATACCATAAGATATAACCTTCTTAAGCATATAAGCACTAAAGGATGACATGAGCTATTTCAAATTGAATAGTAAATAAGAAGAAAAATGAAAGATTATTTCTTATAAAAAGATGCTATTTGGTGAGAAAAAAAAAATTTATTGCTTCATAGGAGAGATACAGAAACATTTTCAATCTCCCTTAATAATCCAAATGGTCAAACACAAAATCACATTAAAAAATTTAAAGAAAAAAATCAAAAAAATAATGGAAAGAGTAAAAAATACTCGATCCTAAGAGATATTATAGCAAAAATATTTAGTTCAAATCTTATCAGGATATGCTAATAAAAAACATACCCCCTATTAATGTTCTACATGTTCGATTGAGCTATCTACCATCCACTGTAAAATGGAGTGTATTCACAACATATATTAAGATCATGTCTCATATATATATCATTTACTAACTTAAAGTTATTGTTCATAAAAGATAATTAGCAACCCAACACTGGAAGTTTGACGTAAGGGGGTGACAAGTCAGATCATATCTTACACAGTTTCACATCTTTTAAAGCAACTCCGAAGCTTCAGCCTTCAAGAAAGCATTGCCTTACTGGATTGCGAATCCCTGCACGCAAAGCTCTTCAATCCACTTCAACAAGTCATACACATCAATCTCCCCAAAACTGTACTGCTTTAGAAAAGCTTTCCCTTTGCTTAATTAACTATTGTGGCTGGTCCAACCACAATGATGGAGACGGAGCAGTCCCACCATCTCCTCCTCCTCCCCCACAATATACTACCGCTGCTGGTTTACTGCAAGAGAATGTTGATGAGTACTCGTGTTCCTTCATATCATTCAACGTGTACTCCAAAGCCAAAGCCACCTTTTGTGGAGTGACAGGACACATTGATGTGGTCAAACTTTGGGGTGTCAGTGGTTGGAAGGTTTTCCTCCTTTCTTCTCGTATCTTTTGTCAAGCAATTCTTAAATCTTTGATATCTTCTCTCTCAGATTAATGAAGGGTATGTGTATAGATGTGGCGACCACCACCCAGAATAGAATGCTTGTGTTCCACGAAGTACACGAGTCATGAGTGGGGATACACACACCATCATCGCCGGCCACAATGGATCTCTCTCTCTCTCTCTCTCTCTCTATATATATATATATATATATATATATATATATATAG